TTCATGATAACAAGTTGTAAAGTTAAATCGATATAAAATTTATGATATGGTTATTAAGTAAATTAACTTATGTCTTTGTAAATTGTAATACAAACAAGTGATCCCCTCCAAAAATAAATGAAAAAAAAAATTCAATCACTATTGAAAACGATGTTCAATTACTAAGCAATTTTTATGTTTTTTAAAAACAATCAATTCATTTTTTAGAAGAAAAAGCAGAAAAAAAAAAAAAAAAAAAAAAAACAAACCAAAAATCGAATCAAAAATTTTGATTTTTTAACTGAAAAATCTAACCTCAATTCGGTTCAGTTTTGGTTTTTGCCTTAATCAATATGATTAACTAAAAACCAAAAAAAAAAAAAAATCAAAACCAAACCGAAAAATCGAATGATCACCTATAGTAGTGAAGTTTAGTGTTGTATATTATTGTCTCGTTAAATAAAATAAATATTAAGAGAATTAAAAAAAGTTAGGAAAAGCAAGTTTTGGTAAGGGCATCCTTGGTGGAAGTGTCCCTATCGAATTGATCTTTTTTTCTTTGTTTGTCCCCTGTGTTTTTTATTTATTATTGTTTATTTTATTCTAATATTATTCTTGATAGATGTAAAAGTATAGGAGAATTGTTTTATTCATATATTTACTATTCCCCTACCGTTGCTAATTTTTTTCCTAAATGAATTAAATGATTTTTTAGTTTCAAAAAATAATTAATTATTATTTTTATATTTTTAGATCTATTTTTAACCTAATCCCTTTTTTCTTGGTTAATTTTTTTTTAAGAAATAAAAAATAAAAAAATAAAAAAGCAAAAGATACGAAAGCTTGATAAGAGAATAACACGTTTTTAGAAAAAAAATATTAATTTACATAGTCGATATTGATAAAAAAAAACTAATTAATTAATTTTTAAAGTTAAATTTGTAATGCTCGAGACTCGTGAACATTCCCGTGCATTTATGTGAGCGTTTATTTTATCGAGTATGTGTGTACATTCTTATGCATGTGTGTGTATTCATTTTATTAAAGTATATGTATGTTATGTCTTGTGTTTACATTGACGGATATCCGACTTTGCAAGTTCATGTTGTTAAGTGTTGTAAGTGTGTGAGTGACTAAGAAACTTAAATTTGACAATGAAAAGATTGATGACTTGTGTCAAATGAGAAAGCAAAGTGACTAGTTTGTTAACTCAATCAAACTCGAGGGATTTATAAATATAATTTGATTAAGTATTCTATACATGTGTTAACTAAGAAATAAAGCTTAATTAGTATTCCATACAAGTGTTAATCTAGGTTAATCTACAAACATTTCTTGATTAGGTGTTTAACCTAGAAAACTATCTTAGCTTAAGTGTTCCAAACAAGTGTCCCGTTGAAGAAAATATCTAGGCTTAAATGTCCCATACATTCGTCCATTTTGAGTTTTCTTAAATGTTTTAAAACCACAAAGAAAGCTTATAAAAAAGGGAGAGTGCTAGGTTATTTATGACATGTCAACCTTAGTAAACATAAAAACAAGAAGAGAGAGAAACCGAATTGCTAAGGAAAGCAAAGCTTGGTCGAGAGTGAGAGGGAGAGGTTTGGCCGAGAGGAAGGAAACTTGGACAACCTTGGACAATGGTAAAACAATATGGAAAGGAAAGATTCTTGAGAGCTTTAGGGTGCTTTTAATACTAGGGAAAACCTAAGGTAAGTGTAATCTCAACTCACCACAAGATCTAGAGGTTCCGGGATTGTTTTGTAATGTGTTTAATCAATAATTGAATATATGTGATTATAAGTTTATTTGATAATTAGCAACTATAACCTAATTTATCATAAGACCTAGATGTTATAAGATTAAAGTGTATATATGTTTAATTGATGATTGAACTTGTATGATGATATGTTTATTTGATGTTTTACACCTAAAGGGATGACATGCTTACTTGATGACTAGTATGTGTTCACTTGATGGCTAGTATATGTTTACTTGATGATTGCTTATGAAGATATGTCTAATTGATATTTTGTTCATATGTTTAATTGAAAATTGAATACATGTGATGTTATTTAATGACTTCGAGTTCACGTGTTTACTTGATGCTACTTGATTATGTGTTTATGAAATTATTTGATGGTTTAACACTTGTTATATTGGTTGACGGATTTGGATTCATGATTATGTTTGAGGATATTTGGTTATATATTCATGTAAAGATTATGCTTGATGATACTTGATTATATGTTACGTGTTTACTTGAGGTTTTGTATTTAGATTGCGTTCACGACATGGAAATGTTTTTATCATGTTTTTATGCATTCAAAGGAAAGGACACATACATGTTTTTTAAAAAATGGGTATTGGTAGGAAGTTTGGTAACGACTCTACTAATACCATACGAATTATAAAGTATGTCGGTAGGGGAAATGTAGTGGTGGAGGAATAAGTAATGGCCCTACTAGTACAATATGATCTTTATAAAAAACGTTAGTAGGAAAGTCGGGAATGACCTTTTCGACACGTGTTGGCAAAGGAATTGATCATGACTCCACTAATATCAAGTGTTTTTTAGATGATTTTTCATAAATAAAGGTTTTTCATAAGGGCTACATATATAGACATTCGGTAGGGTGCGTCCAAATCATAAAAAATGTATTTTCTCACATTCACGTATGATTACACTTACCGAGTATTAGTAGGAAGTTTGGTAATGACTCTACTAATACCATACGGCTTATGAAGTATGTTAGTAGGGGAAATGTATTGGTGGATGAACTGGTAATGGCCCTAGCCTTATTAGTACCATACGATCTTTATAGAAAACATTAGCGGGAAAATTAAGAATGACCTTTTTGACATGTATTGGTAAAGAAATTGATCATGACTCCGAGTAATATTAGGTGTTTTTTAGATGATTTTTCATAAAGGATTTTTTTTTATAAGGGCTAAATATATAGACATTCGACGAGGTGCATTCGAATCATAAAAAATGTATTTTCTTGCATTCGTGTATGATTACACTTGCTAAGTATTCGCTCATAGTCGTCTTGTGGTGTTTATGTATGCTAATGATGCATGAAGATATGTAAGTTAATATATAAACATGATGTGAGGTAATAAAACGGTTTAATGTTTTGAGAAATTAAATTGCTTTTCAATATGTTAAATTAAAGGAGATCTTGAAACTTTAGACCTAAATAATTTTGATGTGCAATGCTTGAGGAAAAGGACACGAGACTTTGTTTCGTATTTATTGTACTACGACCGTGTGGCATTGCCGCAACACTCTTGGCCTCTCTTTAGGCCGAGGGTGTGAAAAAATTCGTGTTGTAAAACTAAAAGAACTAATTTATAATTTATAGAGTCAATTAAGTTCATTACAAATTTAAAGATATTTTATTAATCACTTTGTTATTGTTATGTAGGTCAATGATTTTGTGATTTGCATTGAGAAAGTATAATTAATTTAAATTATTTATAGCAATTATATGCTCATGATTAATTAACAGTGTTATTACCTCGCGATAGGTTGGGCTTGGACCTAGACTGATAGATCCATTAGTGAATTGGATCTACACAAGAAAATGAGGTTATATTTAGACTTCGATCAGCTCATCTACAAACAAATCAATCATATAAATGGTAAAAAAATAATAATATTATTTAAGAGCTATATCATGCCTTTCTACCTTTATTTAATATATATATATATATATATATATATATATATATATATATATATATATATATATATCTTCTGTTACTTATATTTGGATCTACACAAGAAAATGAGGTTATATTAGTTTTTTTTTTTTTTCCAACATTTGAATTTTTAAACACTAATTTATACATCCACTTACTGATTATATAAAACATGCTTCGTTGGAGCTCATAAAAAATTTCAGGAAATTGATATGGTCATTAAAGAACATGTTAGTTTTCTGAGAGGTACACTTTAAAAATAATTAAAAAATAAAATTTAATTTCAGTTAATTGAACAACAAATTTAATATTCCTTTTTACTGTGAAAAAAACAAACAAATAAAAAAAATCAAGGTGCGGTTGAAATTAAGCAAATCAGTAATCACAATTTTTTAATATATCGAATAGCTTTTGATTAAAATATTGAAAAAAAATCAAATTATAGAACAATTTAAAAAAAATATCCACTACTAATTAAATTTATCAAGAATAATTTACACCTTAAACAACAGATTATTAAAATAAAGGTTTAGAACAGCTCACTATAATAATGATCACTAAACTTTTTTTTTATATATATATAAAAAATTAACCTTATTGTTTCCAGGGCAATCATGTCGGATTAATCAGAACAGAAATTTCAAAGGCCTATCGGATTGGAGAAGAGATGAGTGAGAAAGTGCATTTTTAGGAAACCAAATTACTACATGTCTATTTATACGTACGTGCGGACAATACCCCCTTGGCTGCATCAGGTCCACACGATGACAAAATTTGATGTGATTGTTGCATCCTGCATCGCATTAATTCTCTCTCCCTGATCCTTCCTGTCAGAGCCATATCTCACCGTTCTTGAAATACGATCACAAGTAAATGAAGTCAACTGGAAGTTATCCCTTACACCCGAGTCACACTGAATCCATTTTACCCCAATAATTAAAAAACTGGCGCCTTCATTTTTATTTCAATTTCCAAAAGACAAATCTCTTTTTTTTGTAATCAAGGAGTAATGTTTCTTTTTCTAGTTCCCTCCTTTATTACTTGCATCGTACATAAACTACAGTAAAAACACGGTTTCAAATTTCAAACGACACCAAAATTATCATTAAAAAATAAAAATCTAACCACTAATTTTTTTAAAAACATTAAAATTGGAGGATAAGAAATAGAACCTCTTCAAAGCGCTTCTTTTGTTTCCAAAGTAAAGATAAACGGAGCAGTCAGAGAGAGAAGCTAAGCTGAGAAAAGAAAGACCATTCCCATATCATTCTGAATCTCTTTTGGTTCTTTGATTAATCTTGTACTATTCTCTCATGGCTGGGTATGCTCCTTTTTATCTCTTTTCGATGCAAGAATCACGATAAGGATTCATAATCTTTGTGCTATTAATTGTTTCTGACCTGGGTTGTTTTTAAATCAAGTTATGAATTAATGGCATTTTTGTTGTGATTTTTTTTTATATTGATCGGTTGTTTGGTATAAAAGATCATCTGGGTTCTTGTCAATATAGGTCTTCTTATGCGGTGTGATGTCAATTTGGTTGCTTTGTTTCTAGGCTTGTAGGTTTTTGGCTGGTTCAGCTAATCTGGACTTTCCAATCAGTTTAATTTGACCAAGGGGTTAAAAAAGAAAGTGTTTTTTTTTTTTTACTGTCGGTTCTTCTTTGTGTTTACATTGTAGGTGAATGCAGTTTATTTATTACTGTTGAGTGTGTATTATGATCCTATTTTTTAGTTAATTGTGATTATTATTGTGTGTGCTGAGTGTTGGTGTCCATTGATGACGGAGTTATAGAAATTACATTTCTTTTCTTTTTTTGGTTAAAAACAAAGCTAGGGGAAGAGAAAAAATAAATCTTTGTAACCCTGATTTCTTAATTTTTTGGTGGAAAATGTGTTTTTGTCATTTATGTGCACAAATGGTTTCCTGATGATATCACCGTAGCTATTTTCTCTTTTATATATTCATCTTGATGTTGTTAAGTCTCCATGCCATGGCAAATTGCTTGTCTCATCAAGAGCTATTTTCTATGCAGATATTTGTTGATTGTATTATGTTGAGAAACTCATGCTGTGAGCTCCTTGATTTCAATCATATTTTCTCAAAACATGGATTTTAGAGAGTGCTGATTAAATCTATGGAGTTAAGATTTTAGGCTCTTTTATGCTTTAAACAAACATTTTCATGTGTTTTACAACTGTGGAGTTTTATAGATTTCAAATTGTCGTCCCATATTCACACCGTTTTAGTTTTCGTTTAGGGAACTCAATACTGTTAAAGGAGTTTGTTGTGATAGATTGAAATATATAATGTAGTTGTAGACATCATATTCTCTTGGAGTTTTTTTGGCTTGTTTTAGCCATTGCATTTCTTTAAGAGGTGAACTATGGTTTTGATTCGCCATGGCATATTTCAGTACATGTTCTATATCATCTGACTGCATGGGGTAGTGGACCTAACTACCATATATATTTGAGTGTCTGACTTTATTGTTGAGAGTCCAACTCTATTTTTGCTTTTCATTTGTCTGCTTCTGTGATGTTTCAGTACTTGTATACTAACTGTACTTGCAGCTAAGATTAGTTGGTATATCATCTGGTTATAACTTATTATAGGTTCAGAGATTAGGGCATGTTTTCATTAATTATCCATGTCAACATGTTGCTGCAGCTCTTTGTTTTGATTCTTTTTCTTTAATTTATTCAGGCCATGGCTGGTGGATGGTAATAGATTTGCTACGAAAATCAAGAGTGCATCTGGCACAAGTCATCTTGAAAGAGTTGAATGGAAGAGCGATCCTTGTAAAACTTGTCCAAATTGCCATCATGTTATTGACAACAGTGATGTATGTTCCTAACCACTCTCATACCTAATGGTGGTTCTGTAATGATAATATATAGAATTTCATCATTAAGAACATGTCTTTTTGGTGGATATTGATTCTAATAAGGTGGAGTAGATACTGAAACTTTGATGCACAGTTGGTCTCTAATATCACATATTCTACATATGGAAATATTGCTCAAGTTTTATAAAAATTTAGAAACTTAATAGCTTATTATTCATTTCTTGTAATTTTTATTTAAGTTGTGTATTTTTAGATATTTTTTCAATAATGCTGTCAGTTATTAGACTGGACTCAATGTGTAGCTGAAGACCTTATTTTCTTTTCATCCAGTACCCATCAATATTCCAATTTATCATTTCTTGTAATTCTTCTCTGCTGTTTGTTTAGTTTGGCTGTCTCAATGAAGTGATTTGACACATGCATGTTTATTGTTGAAGGACTTGACATCCTTTCGTTTTAGATATTCAACTTGTTATTTTATTTGATTACAAGTAAATAAAACACATGAATAAAGTGAGTGAAGTTAACTTTCCAAATTCTTTAAAAAATTTGTTTACAGTAATATTCTCTTATATTTCCTGTTATGATTGCAGTCACCAAACTGTTCTGGTAAATCTGATTAATATTTTACCTGTTTGGATATTATTTTTTTACAATGTCAGAAGTGAAACGGGTTTATTGGTGTTTGTATGCTTAGAAAAATCGAAGTTTCATTAATGTTGTGCATTTGTATAAAAATAACTAAATCTCAATGAAATTGATATTTTACTTTTTGGGGATGCTTAGCCCTTGTTGTTGGATTATAGATCTGAATTGATACAAGGACTTCTTTTTTCTCTGTAATGGGGTCAATTCAAAACCACTAGCTGCAATTGTCCACCAAAAGGCAATAATATGTCCCAATATATGGCAGTATGTTCAGATTAAACTATTAATGATGCATTGGGTTTTCAATTTTCGTGGAACTTTAAATTTTTATACACATATGAAAAGAACAAGTTTTCTGAATAAAAAGGTTGGGAGAAGTTGATTGACTATGGTTCAAAATTTACGTGGTGTGATTCTGCAATTAAATGAATGGAATAGTACAAGGGGCTTAGACTGTATTTGTAAAGCTAAATTGAATCAATTATGTTCCTCATTCGAATGTTTAAGCTCTGTCCATAGATATCCATCTGTTTTTCTGTTGTTCCTTGGTGTTATTGATTATAGCAAGTAGCCAGAATATTCATTCTTTGCAATTTTTTTTTCATTAAGTTAATTTCTGAAAAAAAAGAAAAAACACTAGAGCATTTCTAAACATGTAAAACAACTGAATGTTTGCAGGTCGTTCAAGAGTGGCCTGGATTACCTAGAGGGGTGAAATTTGATCCATCTGATCAAGAAATTATTTGGCATTTACTTGCAAAAGTTGGTGGAGGCATGAAACCTCATCCTTTTATCTCAGAGTTCATCCCAACTGTTGATAATGATGATGGAATCTGCTATACCCATCCTCAGAACCTACCAGGTTGGTGTGAAGCCAGCTTGATTTTCAACTTTGATCCCAAGTCTTAATAGTTGTATTTTATCTCTAAAAAATAGAAATTTTTTAGGTGTTAAACAAGACGGCAGTATATCACACTTCTTTCATAGAGCAATCAAAGCATACAATACAGGGACTCGAAAGCGTCGAAAGATTCAAGGTGATAATTTTGGTGATGTCCGCTGGCACAAGACTGGCAGGACCAAACCAGTGCTCCTGGATGGGGTTCAAAAAGGGTGTAAAAAAATTATGGTCCTTTACATGAGTACTTTCAGAGGAGGCAAAGCTGAGAAAACTAATTGGGTGATGCATCAATATCACCTTGGAACAGGGGAGGATGAGAGGGATGGGGAGCATGTAGTTTCCAAAATATTTTATCAGCAACAAGCGAACAAGGGAGAAAAACCTGAAGAAGATTTATTCGAAATTGCTGATGCCATGGTTGCAAAAGTAGATCCAGTAACTCCCAAGTCTGTAACTCCTGATCCACCTTGTGCTGAAAGGCGATGCCAAGATTTTGAGTTGGGACAAGCATCTACTAAAGTTTGCACAGATCCCTGTGCTCAGGTGAAATCTGCTCCTTTTTTATCTCTTGTATTCAATACCTAGTGGCTTAAAAGCATCTGTTTCTGATTCTTTGACATGAAAAGTTCAAATTTGAAGACTTTGAATTTTGGTGCATAATCTCTGCAGTCTGCATTTTGTTTTTCATAGTGAATAATTGCAGGTTTGAGGAATTCAGATTTTGGGGGCATGTTCTTTGCAATGCCTGTCACAATAATTTTAGTTACATGATTAAATGTGCCAGTTGATTATCCTTTGGATTGTTTAGCCAAGTTCTCTATGATACTAGACTACTTTTCCCTAAAGTAATAGGAGAAAGACAAAATTTCAGAAAGGCACAAGTACACAACTACAGCCGCTGAAGAAAAAAGTCAACAAGTTGAATTAAATTAAAAATCCTACCTTTTTTTGTCACTAAGAAATTTGTGACATGCTGCAGTACTTGAAAAAAACAAGGTGTCCAGTGACTGATAAACTTGGAGAGTTTTCAATTAGCTTTTGCAATTGCAGGAGTTGATTTTCCTTACACTGTAAAACGATTGCTCATTAGATAAAGAGATTCTGACATATGTCCCTTGTGTTTTCTCCTTAGCTACTTGGGGTTGATCACATGGTTGGTGATAATGATAATTGTGCTGAGGAAGAGGTTAGTATTCAGCATGAAAACCTACCTTTTTCTTTTTTTCACTAAGAAATTTGTGACATGCAGCAGTACTTAAAACAACAAGGTGTCCAGTGACTGATAAACTTGGAGAGCTTTCAATAAGCTTTTTGCAATTGCAGGAATTGATTTCCCTTACACTTTAAAACAATTGCTCATTAGGTAAAGAGATTCTGACGTATGTCCCTTGTGTTTTCTCCTTAGCCACCTGGGGTTGATCACATGGTTGGTGATAAAGATAATTGTGCTGAGGAAGAGGTTAGTATTCAGCATGAAAACTCCCGTTGCAATGACCAACCAGAGAAAGAAAATAATGTTAATCACATGGTGGATGATGATGATAACTGTGCTGAGGAAGAGCGAAAATGGTGGGACAGTGAGTCACAACATTTGTTGGATTCACAACAACTTGTAGAAGGGCTATCTTTGTGTGCTGAGTTTCTTCAGAGCCAATCTCCAAATAGGGCTGGACATGGGACTGAAGCAAATGCCAAACCTGGTCTTTCTGATTATGTCCTGTTAGGATCAGAGTATTTAAAGAAAGATCTAGAGGAGTGCCAGAATCTGGAACTTGATCCAGCAAACATAGAACTTGATACGCCTCCAGAATTCAGACTAAGCCAGCTGGTATGTTGTCTTCTCCAACAGTTTCTCTTGCCTCTTGTATTAAACAATATATCTTGTTATTGCTTCAGAATTTTTAGTAATGCTATTGCGGTTCTTAAATGCTTTTTGAAGGAATTTGGATCACAGGATAGTTTTACTGCATGGGGTGAAGGCAAGGTGGCAGACTAAACCTTGTGCAATTTCAATCCTGACTGTGGAAGGGGAGTTCATTTTGTGTTTGACGTTTTTTGATACTTCGCCCTCTAACTCTACTTGGGTGCATTTTGAAACTATAATATTTTGCTGGATGACTTCACTGTCGCTCATGTTGAGAAGTTACTGGTATTATAAGCTATGCTGTAATTGTAACTTAACAGTTGTATGGGATGGATCAAAGCTATTGCCTACTCTTTTTTCAAGAGCTTCGAGCAGAAGTTTTAGCACTCTACCTAATCTAGTTCCAAGTCTTGATGCTAATGAATTCAGATGCATGCTAGACACCATTTGTGACCTTTGCATTGATTTCATTCTAGATAAAGGTTCTGATTTGTTGCCTTGTTTTGCATGTTGTTGTTGCTGTCTCATTGCCTGTGCTGAATACAGTACTGGACTCAGTTTTGCTCTAAATGCACGATAAGTTGCTTCTATTAAGTTAGGATGGAACTAAAATGTCACTCTGGAAGTGAGAGGGTACAAACCCTGTTTGCATTTTTTTGTTGACTAAGGGGATGAAATCGTTTGGTTTATGCAGATGGTTCAGTAGCCTTCGTATCCAATCAAATAGCTATTGTCTAAAGGGAAATTGGTCAATTAATTCCAATAAAACATAGTTTTTCAAAACTTTAGAAAGTTTCTTTGGCATCGGATGGGCTCTTGGCCGACGGACATGGCATTTTGGCGCAGGCCAGTCTGTCAATGTCCTCCTGTTTTGAGGTTTGTTTGTCTGGATGGTGCTGTTTTGATCACATAAGATGCTAAGTCGAATACGAGTGGACCATAAAATTATTGGAGGGTTTCATGGTATGTCAACACCGGAAAACACAAATGTTATGGTTGAACGAGTCAATGAGAGTGACAAAGGTTGGAAAACCAGCAAAACATTCATAAACTTGTTCAAGCATTACAGATTGTACAAGGTTGGCTTGAAAATGGCTTGAGACAGACTACCAGGCCAAACCTTATTATCTGTTCAAAGGTCACGGCACGGTTGTTTTGTACACGGGGCTGCATGATTGCTTGTGGGGAAGCTGGAATAAGACCCATCCTAGTAACTGCCTTGGCTGGCAGCTTGGCAGCATGTTGTGGGGGCACTTTCTTCCTGCTTTAAGTAGGGTATCCTTTTAGTGTAGAACCCAAAACCTGCTCATGGAAAAAGCTTGAGAAATAGGGCATAGGTGTTGTTCTCAGGGTCCAAAGCTTGGGTCACGGTTACTCTCTCTTTTGGTGCCATAATGCAACCAAAGAAACAGACAGATAGGGCCTCCTCCACCCTGGGCAGTTTGCGTTATAACAAAAATGAACGCCAATTATTTCGTCTGGGACCGTGTCGGTACCTTACCATGTTCATGCGTTTGGTACCAACTACATTACAAATTTGAAGGAAAAGCACAATTATGATGATATCATGAAGTTGTTCAGAACTCCCAAGTATCTCCTGTTCAGGTAGTAAGAACCGTCAGTGACATATGATTTTATTCAGATAATTATCACTTAATACTCATTACAGGGTACTGGCTATCAGGTGCTGGATCATATGACAGAATTATGATATAATCAAGTATTTTGAACTAACTGTTAATCATGTTCATATAGATGAAGTGAAGCTAACTTGATAACCACTAGTTGGTGTACTAATCATGGGCTGACTCTTACGTCTATTAATTAATGAAATCCTTTATGTACCAAAGCCTTTCCAACTCGGGAAAAACATGTGTTTTAGTTGTTCAAATGATTGGTAGAAAAGCATTCTTAACAGAGACCATGATTCTAATTACCTAACCCAACTGCCGAGCAGCTAGTGTGTACATCTGCTAAAAACCGAAATTTTGCGTGTTTTGTAGGTAGATTTTTGAAATACAAATGTTAGGCTCAAATAACAAGTAGATTTACCGTTTACATTACTACATTATCACTTTGGATTTGAGGTTTTTGTTAATACGTTCATTTCAAAAGTGTGCATACTCGTCATCACTAAGATTAAAAAAAAAAAAAAGTTTTTACTTTTGTGTGAAAACTATTCGAAGATATCCTTAATAGATCCTACAATGTCTTGAAAAGAATTATCTAACAAACTCTTTTTGGCTTTATGATATCAAATGTTACAGTCTCACATCTATCATGTGTTAAAAAGATCTTGAACTTATATAAAATCTATTTTCTGTGATAAAATCGTAAAATCATACGGTCAAACTGGATAATGCCTTGTAGCAGTTGACTAATACATGACACCAAACACAAGTACTGCCACAATCTCACTTAGAAAGCAACCATCCTTCTTGCTATGTTCAAACAGGCATATAGCAAGGTCTTTTTGTTCCGGAGATAATTAAATAGAAAAAGCTACAGTGATTTTTAAAATGACATGTCGTCTGATGGACAATTTCCTTTGTCCCTGTAGAGAACCATTCGTCCTCGACTAGGAGGCAAAGCTCTTGCCATCTACTAACACAACGACACAATTGAACGACAGGCAAGCGACTTACCATAAGAGACAGCAAAAAATAAAAAATGATTCACCATTTGCCAATCAATTTCGCGTAAAAACAAATGCTTGGTCAAGGGCAACGAATTCTGTAAATTTCATTGACTTGTTCCTACTTAATTTATAGCATTAGGTGATAGCTCATGTATTTTTCTTTTAATCCAACTAATCATTCTCTTCGCTCGTCAAACTAAGTACATGTTAATTATCTTCTGATCACGTTGTTGCTAAATAAAAATGACTTAATTAGATTAGCCAAGGATTAATGGACAAACAAAACAAGATGATGTTAGGTATAGGTCAACAATTAGAGGATGCTTAATTTGTTGTCTTACGAAACTAATTTGCACAAACCAAAGAAGAAGAAAGAGAAACAAACAAAAAAAATTGTTTCAACACCCCAACGAACTCTAGTTGCCTGCAAAATCCACAACGTGGACTTAGCAGCTGCTGAGTTGAAGCACCTGATCATGACCTTAGTTGAATCATTTCAAAACCTAATTTTGAGATGGCCCATTACACGTAGGCGTGGGAGAGAGTGAGAGCTAGGCTGCATTCAAGTGAAGAATTATTGAAAACACAGAAAATTTGAGGGGGTGAGGGTCCGGGGTCGCTGGCCCTGTTTGTGGCCTGGTCCTGCCCAAGCTAAGCTGAGCTAATTTGGTGAGTTGTGATTGAAAAAGAAGCAGACATGTGAGGTGGTGGTGGGGTTTAGGATTAGGAGGGTGCACGTGGGCTTCATAAAAGCTGCTGTTTTGATGGACCACCAATTGTGTCATCTCTTTCTCTCTTGGTTGAGACTAGTCACAGAGCGAGAGGTAGCACCTTCTTATGTGGCCGACAACAGAATATTAAAGTTGGCAAAATTCACCTTCTGTTCACCTGACATTGCTGACCCACTAACTAGTACTATAGCGGAAAAGAAGAGCAAAAATATTCTTTCTTTCAAAAATTACTGCGACCATGCATCTTGGAAGATGCATACAACAATTCCTATAGCGAACAGAATCGCAGACAATTCGGTTCATCTTATTGCCATGTTTGTGGATGTCAGAAACATTTCTCATCTGCACCTTCTCTCATTCTCCATTGAATTGGATAATGCACGACGACCATCTTCAGCAATACATCCTGTTTTTGCAACTTTAATGGTGTTTTTAAGTTTTAATGCTTAGTTTTATGGCACTAATTAATGTTCCTTGTGGATTTTAATTTACAACTATCAAACTGAATGTCCTACCTTTTAGAACCACAATCCATTGATTGGTTAACAAAATTGACTGTTCATCAGGTTTGAATTTAACTTGAATGGAGATTGGTGAAGAGAAAAAAGCACTGAATGAAAGGGATTAATTAACTTTGTTACAAACCAAATGTTAGGAGTTCAATTGACTTTTTTTGAAAGCTATAAAACCGATGTGATAGAAACTGAAATTAAAATCACATTTGCTGCCGTTAAACCACTAATCATCATTACATTAGTCCCTAATTTCTTGATTAAAAAACAGAGACTTGGATAAAAAGTTGCGATTTTTCTTAAGTGTCAAGAGTATCCTCAACTTAGATTTTTCTTTTTACTAATGATAGAGTTAGAAGTTATTATATTTAGATTAGTGTATTTGCATTTTTTTTTTCCAATCCAAACCCAAAATGAAATGTACAAAAAAATCCTACATCTCACTTGAGCCAACATTATAAATTTACAGCAGCTCGAATAAAAGTTGAGATTTTGAAAATTAGAGAGTGTCGCGGTCAAATTCATCACTCAACCACATGAGTTCTGAGCTGGGGAATATATGTTGGACGGCCTGAGGCTGAGCAAAATCCATCGTCCACTCAGCCACTTCTTACTTCTGTTTTATAGGCACAATAGAAAAAACAAAAACGGGGTACTGTTACTTTTGGATGCAAGGGTAGGTACTCATCTTTTACCGTACACGTGTCACACGTGAATATGGGTTGTAACCCAATAATTCGACCTGGCCCACAAGCATGAGTTTTGACCACAAAGCCGCACAACATAAGGCTCAAGGAAGATCCAAAAATGCCAATTCATTTTATAATAGTACTATTCTTTTTTCACGAAATTGCTAAATTAATTAAATAGTTATTTATTTAGTTTATACACCAATGTTGTTTGGTCGTAGACAAGAAAATCAAAGCCAAGATCAAGACAGAGACTGGTGAACAAACCATGCATTAATTCGATAATTATATAAAAATTGGTTATTATCAGTCATCACAACTTCTAATCAAAACGGACAAGTGAAGGGACAAATAATATTTTTTAAAAACTATTAATGAAATTTAATATAATTATAAATTATTTTTTTTATTCATCAGAGGTAGCCCTCCAATCATATAATTATTAAATTAATTAATTGAAGTCTTTATGATTTGAATTTTATTCCATCAGAAAAACTAGATAGATAATCAACCGCTAAACTAAATCTATTTATGTTATAAATTATTTCTTTGAAATCTATATATACAAGTTTTGGAACAGTATATTATCAATTATGAGTTTAACACTTTTTGGACGTGCATGCCTTAGACGCTGTATATACAATAATAGAAGAAAAGCGGCAAATAATATGATGATTAAACAGTAAAACCTTGTACCATATCATCCCATCTAAACCTCACTTCAAATGATTAATGAGCCTACATCAACCTCACGGTCCATAATACGACTGACTCTATCCAAACCCACTTTATCTTAGACCGTCCAAAGCTACAAAAAGATCTTTAACTTTTTTTGCTTTTATGTAATGATGTCTTTCGCACAAGGAGGACAATAACAATTGTGTATTTAGTTAATTTTTGGTGATTTTAATTTTATTTTTTTTTTACTAATTATACAATAGAAGAATATTATTTTCATTGTATATCATGAATTCTATAAACTTTCTATGAATAAAAAAATAAAAAATTAAGAATAACTCTCATATTTATCCTTAAAAACAAATCAAAAGAAAAAAGTAAAACTGAAACTCAACCCATGTCTCTCCAAATTCCAACATTTTAAGTAATCACTCAATATTGTATTTCGTAATAAGGATAGATTTGATGATAAAAAAAATAATAATAATTTGACTTGTTGATGAGTTTGAATTTTAGAATTAACATCTAAAAAGTTATTTTCGTAAATATGCTAGGTTGAGATATCCGGAATGATACACAAGCAAAGCAAATCTGATAATATTCTAACTATCGGAAAAAAAAAAAAGATGATTGGTAATTATTATCATTAGTGTAAAGCACCAAAAACTTGGCATTGGTAATTAAGTGATCTTATGGTTTGATATTTTTACCTTATAATTTCCACATCCTCTTCGTTTTATTCTAATGAAGTTTCGATTATGGATTACGTATTCAGACACTTGAGAGAAAGAGTACGACTTTCAGGTGCATCAATTTTCCTTCCTCCGAATTCTGAACTTTATCTTGATCTTATGTTAGCAATTCTAGCAGTAGCCGCCTACTTCTAACATATATAGTAATTATGGTTAAGACAAGAGAAGATCTAGAGGATCTCCTCCTCTCTCCTCTGGAGATGCACATATAGCAACTCCTTTACAGGAATCTGTATGTGCCTCAAGCGATTCAAATGCATGAAGCGTCGAGCATAGGAAAAGAAGACGATGGTTAAGATTCCTTCCCCTCCTCTTTTTGAACATGAAGAAAATAATATTGCTTTGACTATGAACGGTCTAATCAACTGATCGATGGGCGCTCAACCTAATTCAGACGGCCAGAGGCTCTGAGTAGGGTTAATCATAGAAAGCACAATTTAGAGAGACATGTCCGAACTCCGAAGTAGGTCACTCATCCATGCGAAAACAAATTAAGAAGGAAATAAAGAACAAAAGAAAGAAGCGAAGGATTAGCTAGCTAGACCACTAATTAAGTTAGAAGGCAAAGCTCATATGTTGATCATGATGAATATGTGTACTTATTACCATAAGGAAAAGAATATATAGTACAAAACTAGAAAGAATGGAGGAAGAACATCAACAATTAATTGCAATAATTTGTTAGATAATATCAAAGCTTTGATTCATACTATCCGATGTATACATTAATTGTCTAAGCCTCATAAGGCCAAGCCATAACAAAATTTGCTAAAAACTCTCCATAACAATTTCCAGCCCCGCCGCAGCTATTTACACTCCACCAAGAGAAAAAAAGAAGGGATCGAGGATCCCTCATCCCCACCATAATTATAGCTAAGAGGAATTGCTAGTACTGTTAATCATGCCAGCATATTAACATGACCACACATCTCTTTATTATGTAAAGCCTAGCCCTTTGTTCTCTAAGGACAGCTCCTAGTCCTTTGCTTGATATCCTTCTCTTTGAGCTCCCCATGCTCGCACTATTCATCTTCATCTTTAGTGAAGTTCAATTTTTTTTTTTTTTTTGGAAGGGGGTCACTGAATTGAATGGCAAATGTTTTCTTGAGCTACGAGTTGGAGTGAGTTGGGTTGAAATGGAAGTGCAAGAAAGGAAGGTTGTTTATATAGCGGGGTGGGTGTGGTCCAAGCTTACATCGGTCTAGTAAAGAGCCAACGATGGGGCATGAAAGGGCGTGCAGTGTCCCCAAACCCACCAGACAGTACCCTCTAGGCCCCACAGCCCCACTTGGGTACCATACCCAAACTCTCCAAGGAAAATGATAAAAAGAATCAAAACAAGCCCCATATCTCTTTCCTCTTCTCTTTGCCTTGTCATACTCTGTAATCTAACCATATCCTAAACTTGTGTAGGCAAATAGCATCACCCACCAGCACAGTGGGTCGGCCATTACTTCAATAGGGTGACAAATTTCTTAGCTTATGGGCTGCCTTTCAACTTGCAGATGACGATGTGATCATAATTTGACAATGAATTCTACTAGCTACTTACTTAAAGTTCTCTTTTTTGATTGGATCCACCTAAACAGGCAATAGAAGGGAGTTGAATCCTACATAACAATGCAATATTAAACGACCTTTTGGCAGGTTTAAAGACTATAATGAGCTCATCTTAATAACTATTTTGACTAACTATGAATATAAATCCTTCCATGTGGGGACATGGGCACTTATGATAAAACGGTGTTGTCACACTCCATGATAATTTATTTAACACATTAATTTTTTTTTCTTTTTTATGTTATCCCAAACGTTAGTTCTGGACATTTCTTGCATAATTTAGAGGATTGTTTTGGATTTGGGATGAGAGACTTGTCTACTTGTATATCTACGTGCTTTGGCTGTATGTCCATGTCTATGTATGAGAGGATGTCATTAATTAAATTCCATAGTATCAGAAACAATATTCTTTGGTGGGTATTCTTCTTCTTCTTCTTTTTAATACTTAAAAATTCATCACTTATTTTTCCATGCAAGAAAGAATCAATACGGTACTTCATCAGAAAAGGAATAGAACTCGATTAAATCGACTCTCTCTTTTTCTTTTTTTTGGTCAGAAAAGAGTATTAAAAGACTAGACGCCCACTCACAACTGATTGGGTTTATAGCATGAAGCACTTTTAAGCCATCAAGATTACAAAAAATCTTCTTCCAATTGAAGAAATTCGACCAAAGCTTCGAAATTAGTTACTTTTTCAAACGGGAAAACTACATTTGGACCATTCATCTATAATATATATTCTAGTTAGGTCCTCTACCTACTAAAAGTTTCAATTTTTGAGGCATTGATTCATAATACTTGATGCAATGCAACTCTTCAATCCAACGACCATTTTTTTTTTTGTCGAAATAGACATGACAGTCTTGATTACTATAAAAGTGGGAAATTGGGTATTGTTCCGGCCCCTTTTTATGTTGCCTAGCATTAAGTAAGAATCTGCATGAATCGGAATTGGGTATGATTTGAATTTTTTTGATAAGGTAGCACTTTGTCTTCATAAAATTACCCGTGAATTGAATAATGGACACAACATGCACGTATAGGTTTTGTTGTAGGAGAAGTGGAATTAGTTGAAATCATGTTAGATTGTAAAGTAGGCAGCAGACCAGGTGAGAATAAGATCCCACCGATCGAGATTTTAACTCTTGAGAATTGATGGGAATTTGAATCCAATTCTCATACCTCGTTGAAATTTTGCTCAAATATTGGACGGTGTGGTCAAGTTGGTGCAAGGAATATATAGCTGTTATTAACTAAATAAAATAGCAGCAGTACTCGTATTTAAAGAGAGATGAAATATTTGCATGAGCATCCAAATCACATGATTCCATATTGCGATGAAATAAAATCAAGAAGGCCAAATCCAAAAATCTCCAAGAATCTCCAATTCTCAGTAAAAAAAAACAAGAGTAAGTCAAGAAGTGGAATTTGATCAGGGTACGTTAAATATATGACCAAGATTCCACCATATATTTACACTGTCAATCTTGATAAAATTAATGCAAGATTGCACAAAACCCAATTGAGTGATTGATTAAATTAAGGACTAAACTTGGACTCAATCAAAACGGAAAACTCCACTTGCTTGGTCTCGTGTTCCTCCCATTTCACTAAGGGACACCGACTTCCATTAATTAACCCTCTTTCTAATAAACAATTATGGTATTCGTACCCTGATCTCTCTCTTCGAACAATTTGAAGCTGTCAATGTCGATTTAAGAGCCCTTCAGTAATTTGTTGGTTCTTACACACTTTTCTTAAAACCCGGACAAGATATTTAGATGCTATATGTAGTGCTTAACATGAATATATAACACATGAGCTTAGTTGTCTCTATGATTTGGATGATCGATGGATTACTAAATTTGTTACAAATAGCTTTGAGATTCATGAGTCCTATTGGACATGGATATTGTAAAATACTGTGTCTCGTCAGATTAGTTGAGTTCTTGTTAATTTTAGACAAGGGATCGACATATTGATCAAAAGAACTTACCTATTAATGTGGACTAGAAATATTCTATGTTTTTAAAATATTTTGAAGGCGATATAATCATATATATAATCTTTATATAATATCTGCCAAGTAAGGTCAGCTAGGTCATGACTACGACGAAAACAACTATCTATAACAATGGGCTAATTAAACGAAATTAGAGACAATGATAATTAACTATAGTAAACTCCGAAATATTTTAATCGCACTATAATCAATGAGTTACAGGTCTTGTTTGAAGTGTTTCATGCTGGTTTTGTTGTACTGTACACAAATATAAAAACAGCCTTGTTGTGCTGAACAAGAAGGTCAGATTTGCACGTGAAGTTCTCGTGATTTACAATGACTTTGCCTGTGATAGACTCAACACGAATATTATTTTTATCTTAGTCCAACAAGCTTTGAAACCATAGTTTATATTATTATTTTCTCCACCACCATGTGTATTATTCTATTTTGATTTTCCTTTTTTTTTTTCAATTAAGCAACTTACTTCTCCCACGTGCATGTTGTTGTACTTGATTTCTCCTCACCTTGAAGTTAGTTTAATTCCTTCAATCAATTCATTCAAATGGCCATAACTTAGCACGGAATACTTCAATTTAAACCAAATATTTGATCATAACAGTTGTATGTTTCCGGGCAACTCGATCCAATTCTAACGTAAACTTCATGCTTAACAAGAAGTTTATAAGAAACCTGTACGTAATTATGAGTTAATTATTGAACAATTATGTACCCACAGATATTTAACATGTGATACTGTCTCTGCTTAGTTGACTAATCAGGCCAGCAAGGTTACTGCTGTCCATTCTAAAGCGCTTGATTTAATTAGCATGTTAGATGACTAAATTACCTGTTCGGTCTTACTTAGCCAATGCTCCCGTAATCACGTAGGGCTATGGAAATGTATTCGATCGTAACTGGAAAATACAGACTGCTTGAAGAATGAACAAATTAAGGGCTAAAATTATGGAATTTTCTGCATAATAATAAGTTGTTGATTATATATGAATAACTTAATTAACCGATGTTATGATACTGTATGCAGGTATGAACATTTTCATAATTTTACGTGTTATAAGCGTCTGTTACTTCAAAGTTGTGTTGTGATTTTTTACTTATTTTTGTCTGGTAAATAATTTACAAACCATTTTTATCTCATGCAAAATATCTTCTTCTTTTAAAAAGTTGATAGATGATTCCACTTATGATTTTAGGAAGGATGTTACGGCGGGGAAAAGATGGGAGCAATGTGATCAAGCCAGTGGAATATGCCATCAGGAAACAAAATTTGTGAACCTTTTCTCTTACCAGTTTTTGATCTTTTTTCCGCTGCTGTTGGTGGATGGGACTTCAGGGAGTCAGTACTGTTCATCACGGATGAGCATAGACCTATTGTAGGTCTTGGTGTCTTTAAGCAACGTAAAGGCTAGGCCCGTAGGCAATAAAAAGGCCAGCTTGACTGCAGAAACCTTTCAGTAGGGGAGCTAAGCTAGTTAAGCTCAAGGACTTTTTGTTCCTTAATTATTACTTTACTAAACAAATAATACATGGGAACATGCGGATGTAAACTTTTAATTATATTTTTCTTATTTCACCAGGAGCTGAGAGTTAACCATTCCCTACACAAAATAATTTTCAAAATTCCATAAAAAAATGTGGAGGAATCTTAACAGAAGTGGCATATGTCTGATTCAGCTATCAAAAAAAATTGAAAATATGCATTGACGGTTGATAGCAGTTTATTTACGTTTCTCTATAATCAAAGATTGAGAACGCACGAAGTTCACTTCCTATTTCTTTAAAGCAAGCATCGTGATTCTGTTTTTCTCAGGAAAAATAGGTGCCCAGACTCCAGAGCGTGTCTGAATATTCAACTAAGTCAAGTACTTGAGCAAGGATAATAAAGACTTTAAAATGCTTCACAGCAGTTTCGTTTCACTTAATCAAATCGTTTCTATATAATTATCATTCCCGAAGGAGCTTACACGTGCGGTCAAAAGATTCCCAGTATGTTTCTCCAAAGATTCCAGCTAAGTTCAATACCTTTGAACATGATTTTCTATTCCACCAAAGTAGTCAGATATAATAATGCAGATAAAAATTTACATAAAAACTAATAAGTATATGCATCTATGTACAGTTCTCACTCCTCTCTTGGGATCCACCGGCTCCACCATAGGCTCTTCCTTCGTTGGTTAAGCTCATCCATGCTCTCATTCAATGTTTTTAAAATCTTCCTTTGCAACAGAAGAACTGCTGCAAGAGCGTTCCTTTGAGGACTTGCCTTCTTTTTAGGCTGCTGTCTTTCCTGAATATTAAGAAAAGAAATTGTCAAATATTATCATTCATTGAACAATCTTGCAAAGAATAATGTTTAATATAGTTCCAAAAACAGACCATAAGTTCTTGAAGTTGAGCCTCCGTGAAGCCTCCCTCTTTCTCTGTCCCAGATTTTGCCATTAGCTGAACAATCCACTTGGCAGCTTCTCCATAATCCTGTTGTGTTGCTCGAAATAATTGCAGCCTGAGATTCTGCATGAAGGACAAAACTAATAGTCCTTCCCTAGCAAAGTAAGGATGAGCTAAAGCTGCTTTTGCACTCATTCTTTGTCCTGCTTTATATCGAACCATTGAAGTTAGAAGTTCCCATCCTATCCCACCATCTAAATCCAATAACTCGAAACCCTTTCGAAGATCAGAGCTGGCACGTGGCTCTACACTTTTCCTCCATGCATTTAAGTCATAATCGCATCGTTTCAATTGACGGTTGAACTGTATGAGCCCATTATCAGAACGTAGTCCAGGAAAAGTCTGTAATAAGAGGTGTTAAAAGTTGAAAAAAGCTAAAGATTCAATCACAATAAGTAGTCTAAACTTGCCACGAATGACCAAACCACATGAAGAAGTATGAATTACTAATATTTTTCTATTTTATGAGCTAATGCTTAAAGTGCTTAAAGTATAGTGTCTCAATCCAGTGTGACTAGCTGAATATTTGAATTTTCCACAACCTTGTTCAATTTTGATCAATTGAAAATGGCATATGACCGAATTACTCATGTTTGGTGATACTTCTATCAGCTTACAAGACCTTCGGTGCATTTAAAATCTTAATTTATAAATAACGACATTTCAAACAGTTTCTTGATGTAATGATTTAAAATGGTAAACCAATGCAACACTGAACCAATGTTAATCTAAATGCAAACTTTGTTTCTATATCCTAGACAGCATACACTAAGTTTCATTTTCCCCACCATTTTCGGTTCTGGCACTCTTGTTGCCAAATTGTTCTGTGCATGGATCAGAAGATAGTACTATCGAATATTAAAGACACTACAAAATAGTTAATTTTTGTCCATTCTTGAACTGTTTATATGAAAGTCACTACAAAATGTCTGTCTGTAAGAACTGATGCATGGTAATCAAAGTATTCAGCTCTTGAACATGGTAACTATAGCTTCTCAGCAATTTTCACTCACCATTTGTAGGAAGATCAGACCAGCACTGTAAATATCAAACCTATCTGGCAAGTTCATCTGTTTATAAAAAGCATCAGAAGGCAGATTAAAGAGAGGGTGCCAGGCTCATGATAATCAAACTAGGAGATATTGTGGTTGGTATTTGCACCTGCCAAAGCACTGGTGAAAGTGCAGTTGCCACTGGAGCTGAGGGTGCAGATGGAGTTTGTGTGCTCATGATGTATTGCTCAGGTGCAGCATATCTAAGCAAGGATGGATTGTGAATACAGTATGATAAGGGGAAAAAAATTAGAAAGCAGAAATCATGTCAAGAAAATGGATGCTGTGTGTCAACTACATGGAGATCAAACAATGATGTAAAATTGAAGGACCATCTCAATGTTCAAAAATTTAGTTAGCAATGCCTGCTTCTGATTTGTGAAGTGCCATCGTGATAGACAGAAAGAGCGGGTATGGGAATTCAAAAGCTACATAAAACATGATAAGAAAAGAAAAGCTCCTTTTGGAATATGAAGAATGAAATTCCAGAAATATGAACTAGATGACAAGCATGATTCAGACTGAATTGTTTGCAATGCACGAGTCTCTGTACTAATTTCAATTACTCATGAAGAAGTTGGAGATTCAGCCTATCATGTAGCTAACCTCCATAAAATTGTCACCATATTCACTTATAGCTGTTGTTTCTTGCGAAAAATAAAGTACCTTGGGTCCAAAAGAAATTCCTTTGGAATATAATTGATGCCTACTCGCAAATCTGCTGCAGCTCCAAGATCAATGATCTTGAAAGTACGAGACCCTGCTCCAGTTTTACATGAAAATATGAATCATGATCTTGGATTGACTTTAACGTTTTATGTTTAGAACAAATCTTGATGTCATTACCTTCAGAGAAAATAATATTCTGCGGTTTAATATCCCTATGCACAATTCCTGTCGAGTGAAGACCATCCAGCGCAAATAAAACTTGTCTCATGATAGTTTGAATGATTCTGTTTTCTCTCTCCAACCCCTTAGGCAGTTCCTGAACCTCTCCAAGTATCATTGTCTCTACCTGACCATTTATGTAGTATTACTAAAATTGGCACTGATAATTTGAATAAACTGAGATTAAAGGAGTAGCACCTTACTAGAATCAATCAAGTCCAAACCAACTATATCCAAGAATCAGTTAAGGGGATAAAAAAAGAAGATATTATCTCCTTTTCAGAATGAGAAATACAATGATATTAAACCCCAGTTCTGATATTACATCAACAATAGGAAAACCTCATACCGACTAAAGACTGAAGTTGTTGTTGGGTGTCAGTGGAAAGGAAAAATCTTTTGAGTTGGATAATTGCAAATATAAAATTCTCAAACACAGCATTCTGATGCATGAAATTATGAATCTAAGTGATGAGTTCTAAAATAAAGAAGGCAACCAAGAGAATGTACCAACATTGTAGGGGAACTCTTTACTGTGCATCAAATCATAAAGTGTGGACTCCCCTTCGTACCGCCATATGAGCCAATATTCAGTTCCTTTCTTCGAAGAACTCTGAGAGCAGTTCCATGTTAGCAATTCATGTCACCAGAAAAGAAACAAAATGTAAGATGGTACAAGCTCTCAGATTGATTTGCTTAATTTTTGAGATAAAGATACCCTTAATTTATATGATGGTACTAGTAGTAGTCATTATAGAGTAACACCTCAAGAAATCCATACACAAAATCAGCACAACTGTTTGCACAAGCTCTTCGAACTCGTTCATTCATCCAAATTTCCACTGCCCCATATTCAGTAGCCTTTTTCAATACCAAGTCACCATCCTTCTGATAAGGCACCTAAAAAACCAAAAATTAATGTGCTACATTAATTTGCTCAAAATATTCTTAGACATCGAAAGATGCATATGCATCTCATAAATCAATAGCAAAACATCAAACACATAAAAAGAATTGATTGGTTGGTTTTCCTTTTTAATCATCCGGTCATCTCGTGAAAAAAAAAAAAAAAACTTCCACAAACATCGATGTTTGCAGAGGATTTTAAAGTATGAATCTAATAACTTAAACAGGACAACTAATAAAGAAAGTGCAGCAATTGGTAAAGTTAACGTATGAATTCATTTTGAAATATCTAACCACTTCAATTTTAGTCAAGAGACCAAATGGGACACAATGAGACAGTTGATTCCAGAGTCAATTCCTATAAAAACTAATTCAAAGTAAGTTGCTAATCAAAAACACAAATTCATCAAACACTTTATACCTTGAAAGAAGACTTCTTAGACAATGAAGCTCTATAAACCACTCCAAAAGCTCCCTCACCCAACTTCTTCCCCAAAACAAAGTCATACTGTCACCAAAAACCAAACACAATAACCACAAATAATTACACAACAATCAAAAACCACAAAAAAAAAAAAAAAAAATCCAATAAATAACAGCAAGACGAATCGCAACTTACACTAACCTTTTTAAAAGTGGGCCGAAACAATCTCTCAACAAAAGCAAGAAAAAACATGTCAAAGAACCCAGGAGCCACACCAGGAGTGGCCCAAAGGTAAGACAAAGTACCCAAAGCCAAAGCAGCACCAGGAGCTGTAAGTGTCAACCCACTAGGCTTTGGCAAAGTGCTTCTATATATGATATCACCACACTCCATCACTGTACATGGTAGCCCTACCCCTACACCCAAAAAAAGATTGTGAACTGCATCCAAGAACTCACCTCCTGATGATGCAACAACTGCAAGTGTTTTTGGGTTTGCGGTTATGGTTGTTCTTGAAGAGGGTTTGAGGTTAAGTTTTTTGCCAAGAAACGGAGATGGGGGCTTTGGCTTATGAGTGCTGTGGAGTTTGATAGGTAATGTACCTCCTGATGCCACAGTGGCCATGACTGTATAGAGAAAAGGTTTCACTTGAATCCCTGCTTCAAGTTTCAAGTCACTGGTTTTACTTGAATCTGCTTCAAATTTAGACCACTACTCTCTTTTCTTTTCTTCATTGTTTCCTTCGATTTTTTGGGTTGGTTTGATATGACAGTTATTACAGGTATTTTTTGTGGACGATAACGGTTTGAGAGGATGGAAGAGGCAGAAGAGCCATACGCACCACAAATGCCACATAGATACTTGTAACGAAATTGGGTTGGGCTTCTGCTTATCGATAAACTGATTGAAAAATATCTGGTTTCTCCTATCTTAAAAACAAAAAATTTATTTTCAAATTTTGACCAAGGTACTAAATGGGTTTGCTTCAAATATTATAACCTTGGGTTGTATCAAATTCAAGGAAAAACTTGGAGAAAAAAACCTTTCAAAAAGTCTTCAATTTGGAGGTGGATAATTTACTATCTTGCTAAAGAGAGAATTGGTCCCAATAGGCCGTAGTTAACTACTCTAACCGTTAAAACATATATATATATATTCTCACTAATAATAATAATAATAAATACTCTCACTGCTAAAAAATTAAAAAAGAAAAAAGAAAAAAGATATTTTCGACTAGGCTGGTCTAAAACACAAGCCCAACCCCAGGTGCTAAAACACAAGATATTTTCTCTCCTTCTCTTTTTGGGTCTATTTACCGAACAATCTAAGCTTGCCCAGGTGCCCGAGGCCTAATTTACCAAAGGACAGAGCCCATATATCAAGCCCAAAGAAAGAAACAGCCGAAGTCCATGAAAACTGAAACAAGCCGGTAAAGAGCGGAAACTAGGAGATAAACATGATGCATTGCCAGTAGCTGTTTGGTTATTGGAATCTTTGGCACGTAAGTATGATTGAATTCTTTGTTACATTGGCATCATAATTTGATATTATTTTTCAGACTAGACAAATGAGATTTCAGAGTTGCATAGGCATGGATGGAACATATGGAAGGATTACAGGGTGAGATGGGCCTCATCCGTTTGCATTTATATTCTAAACCCTTCATAGCAAAATTGATTTGCGGTGCATATATTTTCCTTTGAATTGCCTTTTAGCTCGTCCTTATATATCTAAGGATTATGAGGAATTTGAACGAGATAAAAGGAATGGTTATATATATATATATATATATATATAGACAACAAAGACAAATAAGTTCAATGTAATATTACAGTATGTAAGTCCAGAAGTTGTTAACTAGGCACTAGATCCCTCTTCAGGCTTAGGGTGTTACGCTACATATGCTTTGTAATTTTTTTCTCCAAACTGTTTATTGCCAATTGCCATTTCATTCATCAAACCCCTTCAACCATATATGTTCACTTCCATGTATGCGGAAGCATCCATCAGTGATCGAGGTGGATGCAAACATTTTTCTTTTTTTTTTTTTACTTTTACCGGGCCTGGCTGCGTGCGTCAGGGGTAGAAGTGCATTGTTTTCTTCTTTTTTTTTTTTTCTCTTCTTCTTTGTATCATGGATGTGAATGTTCCAACTATACCTTTGTTACTATTCCTATATAATTAGAACAGGCAAGATGTAATAACAGTGAATTTTACTGTTCATCTGCACTGATTACTCAGATTTTTAAAATTTTAAAATTATTTTATTTTGATCCTTAAAATTTTAATTCCCTAATTGATATAGTACACATGTTTTTTTTTTCCTTTGATTTCTTTCACTAATTTATGTTCTTTTTTTTTAACTAGGTGTTAAAATTTTAAAAAATTAATCGTTATTTTTTTCCATACAAACTGATTTAGCCTTTATAATTTTAAAATAAAAATTTTAATTCCTTAATTCATGCAGCACACTTGTTTTATATGACTAAAAGAACTGAGGTTTTTGTCACTATTCATTTACTGTAGCTCTAGACTCATTTACACTATAGACAATTTTTTTGTATTTTTTGGATTTTGGTGGGTGATGATATGAAAATTATACAACTTTTTACATTTTGATCCTTGATATTTTCAAATGAATATTTTGATCTACATCTTCATTTACTTATACATTTTTGGTCCATTGGTGTAGAGAGAAGAGATGGAAGAGAGAGAGACGGAGGAGAGAGAGATAACTAGCCGGGCTTATTTAGGTCACTTTGATCGGCGAAAATCCATTAATTTTTTTTTTTTGAGAGATGAGTTTGTCAATGGCGGTTTTAAGCCATTAAATAATTAGAGGATGTACATCGAAGCCAAAAAAGAAAAAAAAGTTTCGATTTGATTATGTATTTTTTATTTTGGTGTACATTAAAATAATTTTTAATGTTTTAAATATATTTATTGATTTTATTTCGATCATTTAGAGATGTTTAGGGAAAAAATAACGCCAAAATTGAATTTTAAGGACCTAAAACTTAATCTTTGATTTTTCAACGTATCTTTCGACGCGACCTTGAGTTTGTTCGAAGTTGTAGATTTTTCTTCTTTTTTTTTTTCTTTTTTTTTTCTGTTTTTTTTCTGGCCGCAGCTCGGGCCTAGAGAAGTAGACCTGCCTTGGCACATAGGCTTGGGTAGCCTTGGCTTGGCGCTTAGGCTTGCACATACAGGACTCGCCTTATTGGGGGCCAAGCGGGCCTCGCATGCGAGCCTAACTTTTTTTTCTTTTAATAATTTATTTTTATATTTTTTTATCATAGAATTAAGTGTAAAAAATATAGAAAATAGATCTTTATTTTCTTTAGTTTTACATATAGTTTGACCTCGATAAGATATATATGATATATATTTTTTTTGATATATATATATATAACTCTTATTATTTTAAATTTATTTCTTCAATTATTTATTTCTTATTTAAATTCTTATCAAATTATTTTTTAATTTTTTAATATAATTTTATTTGTTAATAAATTTGGTTTTTTTTTATATATGGATTTTGGAATAAAATTTTAGAATGTGAGTTTTTTATTTTTTAAAATATATTTTCATAATTTATACGATGAATTATTTTTATGATTTTTAAACGAGAATAGCATGGTTGCATATATATATAATTAGAATTTATTGAAACCAATTTTGTTATGGTTTTGAGAGAGAGAAAGAGAATTAAAAGTGTATTTTAGATAATTTGACTTAATTGGTTAAAAAATTAATAATTATTCTAAAAAAACTCACGGGTTTTATTTGCTTTTTTATATATATGATTAGGAGTTATCATAACCAATTTTGTAGTAGTTTTTATTTTAATCTATTCATTTTGATATATTTCATACAATTTAGATGAATATATATACATGAATCATTAATTTTGTTATAAATTAATCTATTCGTTTCAATATATTTTATAATTTAGGTAGGTATATATATACATGAATCATTACTTTTGTTAGAAATTAATTATTTATCTCGCATACGTAACATCAATTATTGATTTTTATTTTTTTTCATATTCTAAGATATGTATTTTTAAATAAAATAATTTAAATAATATTTTGAAAGAGCCTTCTAATTATTTAAATATAAATTTTTGTGCTAATATTATTAATTATTTTGTTAATAAATATATATAAATCAAATAATTTTGTTCAATATATAGATTTGATTTATATTAATCATCATAAATAAGATTTTTACTCACACCATATCATGCTACATAAGTAACAATTGTCTGAGTAACAATTGTCTGACCAACGCAGATACCTAACTAATTGCATTCTAGAGAGAGAGAGAGGCTGTTCAGATAACCTTACCTCTACTTATTAGCTTCACGGTTTGACCTGTTTGACAAACAGGAAAAAAACCCAAACCAATGACAAACAGGAGGAAAAAGAGAGCTCGATTTCTTTCATTTTCCTAGCTAGAAACTAGAACGCTTTAGTTGAGCAAAAAAAAAAACTAACAAAAGAAGAATACAGAAGCTTCCAAAAACTGGTTTTAAATTGAACTTGAGATTCTTGGACAAATTAATGCACCCAAGCAATGATTAATCAAACAAAGATAGTATTCTTGGGTTTGGGTGTGTGAATTGGAAAAAAAAAAAAACAATGATAACAACAAAGATCCACACTTCATACATTTGATGATAACAACTTTTGATTAACGACAAATATTAATCAAACAATGTAGAAAGTGGAAGCACCTTATTGGTGTTCAGCAATACCTCTTTCACTTTCCACTACTATTATACTTTACAAAAAAGCAATAATTCCAAAACCCCGGTGAAAGCGATTTCCCATAATCTTCAAAGAAAACCCACTTAAAAAAAAACTCTCATGCTCCTCCTCCTCCTCCTCCTCCTCCTCCACCACCACCACCACTTCCTTAACCATGCAACCAATCATCATCATCGTCAACAAATCAAAGCACCATGGAAACAAACATCTCTCTTTTCCTCAACATTTTTAAAGTAATCCACCACTCCTTTTTCCAAAATCACAGCCGTTAACTTCCCTTTAACGGCTTTAACGACCGTAACAGTCCTGTTGATCTTAATAAACTCTTGCATAGACAAGACAAAAATTCCCACATTTCCACTTTTGTCCTAACACCTCCTCACAACAACCGCACACGGACACACCGTCACAAATCCTCAACCTCTCACCAGGATTTCAGCACCAAATCTAGCTATCACAAAACAATGTTGAATGGCGATAAAGATCATAAGGGGCCCACAAAGAATCCAACGGACACGGTCTTTTAGTGTCCAACCTAAGCCAAGGCTTGCCCTTCCCACTCCAATGTAACAAACTAACCGGACCAGGATGCAAATTCCTACACAACCCTTCTAGATTATCACCACCTAGCCCATGTTGATTCCATCTATGCTCAACACCCTCCACATCGCCAGCAAAAACAAGCAGAAAAGGAGGCAACGAACCCAACTCGTAAATCCTATACTTCTTCTGTACTCTCATCCAGTACTCTAATTTTCCCGTGTATTTCCCTTCTCTCCATTTCCCCAAATCTATCACCATCACCCCCGTGTTAAAATAGCACGCTCTCCTCCCTCTCAACGACGCCGCATATGCTGAATTGGACCAAAATCGAGAATTAAAATAATTCGTAAAATTCGCGTGGCAATATTCCGGTGCACCGAGTACGTGTGCACCTAAATTAATGTTCCATAATTTTGCCACGTCATCCACCACGATTAAATCAGAATCGAAGTAAATGATTCTCCGCACGGTGAATGGTACAAGATCGGCGAGGTAAATACGCGCGTAATTCAACGGTTGATCGAGAGCTCGGCGGATGGAGGAGGAGATTTTACCCTTGACTAGGTCAGTGTTGAAGTGGTAGAGGTGGAAGGTCAGGTAAGGAAATGTGGAGGTGATTGTGCGGCGGAGGTCGGCACGGCGGTGAGCGGCGATGAAGTGGAAGACTATGTTTTCAGGACAGGCGGCGTGCTGGAGGACGGAGAAGACTCCTGCGACGGAGCCGCGGAGGTAGGTAGCGTCGAGTGTCATTGCAATGTGAATAATGGAAGCATCGTGGTGGTTGTTGAGTGATGCAGGCCATGTCGTTTTGGGACATTCTCTGCCGTTTCGAAATGCTGGTGCTTCTCTAAACGCAGGGAGTTCGGCAAATGGTAAGCTGTGTACAGAAACGACGACGGTTGTTAGAAAGAGGCAAATGGAGAGGAGTGACATGGCTTTTGAATGCTGGTGTATTAGTGGAAAGAGGAGATGATAAGAGAGGATGGTATGGGGGTAGTTTGGGGATTTTGAGCGAGAGAGTGGGAATATGGAATGTGTGGGCTAAAGCCAGGCTGCCAAAGACGCGTCCCTTTTGTTTTTTGTCTGTGATTGAGCGTCAGGGACATGGGGTTTTCATCCCGTGATACTGAATGAACCGTATGGTGTCCTTACCTTATATTTATTTATAGCAGTGTATTTTGATGGATTAATTGTATATTTGATCCTAATTTTTTATATTTTTTTATATGGATACTTTACTCGTTATTTGATTAATTTCATGTTCCAAAAAACAATTTCATAGTCTAAAATTTTTCACTTGTTATATTGAAAAAAGTTTGATGGAGGGACATTAATAATTTTTTTAAAGAAGGGGGATCAACTTAGTACAGTACGACTAAATAGAAAAATAGAATCGATTCTCTATTATCTGATTCATTTGATTCAATTTATTTGGTATTTGGTTTTTTTTAATTCTATATTTTTTTTCGGTTTGAAAACCAAACTAATCATAAAATTTATTTTCCTTTTCCTTCAATAAAAGGTTTAAAATTATAAAAAATTTACTTAAAAAAAAATGAAAACCAAACCAAAATATTTTAATTTATATAATTCAGTTTTGGTTCAATTCTAAAAAAAAATAATAAATGGTTGGGTCGAGTTTCCAATAAACCAAATCAAATAAATAACACATGATATATAATCCCAAACATCAGCTATATATATATATATCACATTAATAGAATATCAACGAGTACTAGAGCAAAGAGAAATTTTATAATATTACAAGAGTAACTAGTGGTATGTATAATTAGGGACGACAATTTGCTCGCCCCAACGGAAGCTCGCCCCACCCAGCGTCAATTTTCCCCGGTCAATGCGGAGATTCCCTGCGTTGACCGAGGAACGAGGTGCCTTCGAGGGGGATGAGGCGGGGATGGGATTTGCCTGCCTCGCCCCGTTTGCCTCATTTTTTTTTCATTAAAATTATAATTATACCTCATATAAAAATCTATGTATAGTTAAGGATGACAATTTGTTCTACCCCAACGGAGGCTCGCCCCACCCCGCGTCAATTTTCCCCGGTCAATGCGGAGATTCCCTGCGTTGACCGAGGAACGGGTGCCTTCGAGGGGGACGAGGCGAGGATGGGATTTGCTTGCCCCGCCTCGTTTGCCCTATTTTTTTTTCATTAAAATTATAATTATACCTCATATAAAAATCTATAATTAGTGACTTTTAGGGTTTATTTTCTATATAAATTATCATTTTTTTGCTATAATTTAAATTTTGCTAGTAGAATTGAATAAAATGAGATGAAAATTTTTTTTTTGCCCTATTTGCCCTGCGGGATCCCCGTCCTTGTTTGGGGCGGGGATGGTGTAAGAAATTTTGCCCGTTCGGGGCACGGGCGGGGACGGAGATGGCGATCCTCACCCCCGCCCCGCCTCATTGCCATCCTCGTGTACGATAGCTACTTCATGGGTCCACTTTGAGGAGAAATATAGACATAAAAAAAGCAACATGAAAGAAAATAAAAAAAAATTGAACGGATTTGGAAATCTTCTTATCACTTTTGGTGAGTATGGATGTAATTTTTTTTTGTCTTTCTCTCTCCTCAAGATGTAATTTCTTTTCTTTTTTTATCTTTCTCTCTCCTCAAAGCAGATACATAGAGTAACTACCGTACATGTCACTAGTTGTTCATGTTGTATTATAAAATTTCTACTAGAGCAAATATGTAAATAGACGGTGAAGATTTATGTTGGTCATGGGATTTACGTACGACGAAGGCCTAACATACCGGCTCGTAAAATTAGGTATCCAAAACAGAAATTTTTTTGTCAAAAAAATAGTCGAATGTACCGAACTCGTTTTTATATAATACTCAATTTTTCATATGTTTTAAAATTTTTAATTATATCTTATTTATTTTTAAAAATATTTGAAATGTTTAATCTCTCTTTTTGATAAGTTTTTCGATCAAATGATTTTTTTTATCAAAATATATCCGATTAAAATGTAAAAAAAAAAAAATCTAAGGATTTCAAATATAAAACATGTAGGTCACATGACTTTAATTTTTTTTTTAATTTTAGTAAAGAATATTTCTATCAAAAAAAGTTATGAACAAAAAAACATATTGAATAATTCAAAATTTTCGGAGATATGTGAGATGCAATTAAAAAATAAAGATATACAAAAATTTTTAGTACTATATAAAAATATATAAGTATATTTGCTCCAAGAAAATTACTCAAATTAGTCCTTTATTGATTTGATAATAATTCAAGTTATTTTATTGGACGGTGACTTCACATGCTTGTCTTAAGAATTAGGACGCCGAAGGTGGATGGGTCAATCTATATTGTGTATAGGGATATAAGCGAAGTCTAATCCATGGACTCATGTCTCGTTTATGGGTTGGTAATTGGTAATTAAATTTGTGCTCAAGATGGGTATAAATATTCAAGAGGTTTTCCGGATACATAATGATTTAAATTTGAGATCACTTACATGTGAAAGACTAATCTAGATTTTGAGCATACCTTAGAAATTATTAAAAACAAAAAAGAAAAAAAAAAAGAAAGTTGTGCATGAAACTTTTATTGCCGCATATCTCGTTATGAACCTTTCGGTTTAAATTTTCTTCGATACGAGTCGGAAAAGTTTCTGTTTGATTTGATTATACGAGTTGGATTCTCAATTTTCTATCGATATGCGGGAAAATTTTGTTGAATCCGGAGAATCATTCATTTATTGATTTGATCTCGGTGAATTTAATGGCTTTTAATGGTTTTGGATTCTACCTTATATGAGAAGATTGTTTATTAATGATATAGTGATACTAATATTGCTAGGACAATAAATGAGTTGGATTTGCTAAGTTAAATCCCAATCGAGACAAGACTACTGTAGAGCGAGGTGGAAATAGAAATATTTTCCCCATATTTTTCTTCTTTTTTTCCTTAACTTGGAAATATATGTGCTCTTTATCGTGATTAATTTTTTGTCCGATTACATAGATCATAGTCTATAAAAATTACCGTTTTAGATGAAAGTGTTTTTTATAATATATTCGGAAAAAAGCTGTATTTTTGGTTCTTAGTAATTTTTTTCTATTTTAGTATCTAATTGGTAATTTTTTTTATTTCACTACCCAATCTTTGATTGTTTTTTTCCTTTCTATTTTGGTGTCTACAATCATTTAAGATTAAATAACATTGACTTGTCCGATAACATTTGTCACATGACATTTTTAACTATTACATACCAGTTTTGACTAATATATAAAATAATAATAAGAAGAAGAAAACATTAAATTAAAAAAAAAAAACGAGACCTTCCCATAAAATTAAAAAAAAAAAAACCCTAAGATGTTGTTTGACAATCGGGAATTAAGCACTCGAAATGGGAATGAAGGAATTGAAATAAGAATCGAGAAATCGAATGACAATTTAAATCTAATTCCTGTATTGGTATCTTACTATTGGGAATCAAAATGAAATACCGAAATAACAATTACCGTGTTTAGTATAGACAAATAGGAATCAAAATGATATCATATATTTATTATTTTATCCTTCAATATCCTTAATAAATTTTTTCATAAAGCAATTAAATTTTTTTTAAAAAATATATATGAAGGTTTTTTAATTATTCTTTAGAAATAAACTAATTTGTGTTTTTGAATCTATCCAAGAAATGAAAATACAAAAATAAATGACTTCGACTAAAATATATACATGAATAAAAATACAAGAAAATAAATTACATAAAATAAAAGACTTAAAATATATACAAGAAATAAAATTCAAAATAATAAATGGAATAAAATAAATAACATGGAATTAATTAAATACAAAAATAAATAAATGAGATAAATTAAAAGGAACCAAGCGTATGCCCAACTCTAAATCTCCAAGCAAAGTTGTCATTCTATAGCTACCCGATATTTTTCTAAGACTTTAAAAAAACTAATATGTAGTATTAAAGGATTTAGAAACCAAAAATTGACACTAATTTAGAGATTTTAAGATAAGGAGTTGGTTGTGCCTTTAGAAAGATATCAATCACTTAAAAATATCATTTCTTAGGAAAGGTATCATGTCTAGTTTAGTCTTAAAATTTATCTCCTAAAAGTTTTTATTTTTTTATCATATTATTTTTCAAGTCAAAATTCCAATAAGCCAAATTAATTTTTTATTTTTGTTTGTGGCATTATATTGAATTAATTGTCAAACTCAATCATCGAAAATCTCGTCAATTCAATATCGGATCTAGTTTAAATTTTGATATTATTGGTATGTCGGAGAATGACCTAATCACTAAAGATAATTAATTTGATTTAATATTAGTCCCTATTGGATAAGAGACTCGTTAAAATTGCATAAAACGCTTTCTTTATTTTTTTCCTTTTCATGTTTTATTTTGAGCTATGCGAGAAAAACATTATCAAAATTATTTTTTTCTTCTTCAAAATCATATTAAATTAATGTCGAGCCTCAAAATTTAGAACCTCATCAATTTAGTCGTAATCGGCATGTCGAGAAACAATTTAATTAACTAAAAGTGTTTACGCAAAATGTTAAATAAAATCAATCCAAATTGATTTCTTATTATTTTTTTTAGTAGTTTTAATACTAAATAAATATATCAAACCATCATTTGTCCATAATAAATAAGAGACTCGTTGATCTTACATCACAATTGAATAAAACTTCATACATTAAAATAAATTTTACAACCAAAATATTTCTAAGTTTTATAATACAAATAAAATTAACATTAAGATAAAACAATATCATAAACTAATTATAAAAAAGGATAAGAAATCAAACCAAATGTTCACTAGCTAGTGACCAAGATGCCCCATGGAATGCTACTAAAAAGTACCAAAATACGCCTTATGGTAAAATGAACAAAATGTCCCTACATATCAAAATTACCTCTCGAACCCCAACGCCGCCATCGGACGTCATTGTCGCCCATCCGACCCCCAATCAAAGAGTGGACCACTCCATAATGTCGGGAACATTTGGACGAAGTCGTTGGTTTTAACAATGATTGCCACTATCGTAAGATTGGTGGTTGGAAAGTTTTAACCGATCTCTTCTTTGTTCTTCGATCAATTTCAACTAGATTTAATGATTTTTAAGGCTTTAAATTAGATCGAACAACCCTTAAGATCTATTGAAGCTTCGTTTTGGTCATTGGGTGGTCCGATTTGGCTAAAAAATAGGGAAGAAAATTGATCCCAAGCATGTGGGTCCTACGATTCCGAATTCATGACTAGTTACCTTCCTCCCTCATCATTTTCCATCACTTCCATCAATAGAGAAGGGTTGCTAGAGGCTGAAGGAGTAGTTTTATGGTGGTGATCGCCATTGATATCGTCGAAAAGGGACGATTTGGGAGGAGCTTATATCTAGATCTAAAAGCAAGTCGGACACTAACCTTCTCTCCTCGATTTCTCCCTCCTTTAGCATCCTCTTCTTCTCTAACCAATCAAGAATGGTGGATATATTGGTGGGCTATCAATTTGTGGTCGTTGGATCGAAGTAAGTTTGGTCGAAGGATGATTGATTTGAGGGAGGAAATGTTGACGAATCTACGAGTCGACCCACGAGTGATCCGAGTCGATAGCCTCCTTTAAGGGTCGTTTGGCGAGCCTTTTTTCTCTCTTTTTTTGGTTTTTTTCTTGTTTTCTTAAGATTTGTATCCTACAAAAAAAATAAAAAATCTAAAGTGATGATGAAAATTAAAGTTTCTACATTTTGTTTTTTTATTTTATTTTACGGATAGAGGTGATGGTTATTTATCATTAGGTTATTTTGTGATAGGTGAATAATGGGAGGCTAGATTGATTTGGTAGGAGATGAGTGATAGAGGCTTAGGTTTTTGGGTAAAAAGATGAGTGATGGAGACTAGGGTTTTTAGGGTGGAAAAATAATTGCGAAGGCTCCTCTAAAAATGAAGGGAAATGATGTTTAGATATGGATTTTTTAGGGTTTGTGATAAAATCAATTTAGGTCATTCTTTGGATTATTTTTCTCAATTTCAATGTATGTTCCATTATTTTTTTATTTAATTAGCTCCTTAATTGAAATTGTTTAATCTCTCTTCTCTTGATATTCCATCGTTGAAATCCACATCTCAATAAGAATCATATTTTGTTTGCTAATCCATCGCTATTTAGTAATAAACTTAAATCATCATCGATTTCCATTGTTATTTGATAGTTTTTTTGTAGTGTTATTTCATGGTCATTTTCTATCCGAAAAAGAAAATACCTTTTTCTTATTAAAAAATTATAGAAAATCGTTCATTGGATAATCATTCCCTTTGAATGATGACATACATCTTTTTCCAGGTGGTGATTAGGGCGAGTAGATTGGAGTTTGAGGAAGACTAGGCAATTATGGACTAGTCTCTTAGCTTTCTCTTTAAATTGGAGTAATTTTATAGAGATCTCTCCCTTCTCGTTTCCTTATCCTTTTATTTTAAAAAACAAAGGTGAGTTTATCAAGCAACGATTGTTTTTTCGTTTGAATATGGCTTTTTATCATCCTTTTCAATCGAAAAAGGTTCTTACCAAGGAGAACATAAAACTCTATAAACTAGCATCATAAACTCCATTTATTAGAGCCTATGTGGCAACAAGTTCTAACGGTTCGTTGACTTTCAATATTTCTTTGTGAAAATGAGAGAGGTAAACTAGAATGTTTTCTTTCTTTTGTTATGTGATGTAGAACAAGTCGAGTACGGCTTTTCTCGATGGGAATGTTGGATGAGAAATGAACGATGAGATTAGAGCATAGATCTTCAAAATTGAGTATAGACTCAATATTTAGGTTGTTGTATCATTTCCTATCCATTCTCTTAAAACTCGGTGGGAAGAATTTGACACATGGTTCCAATATCTCGTAGCACCAATTCGAGTGTCTCGAACATTTTATATGTGTTCTCGTAGAAGCGTGGCAATTAAAACACGTGAAGCAAGTAGGAAAGCTTGAGTTCTATGACTATAGTTGTCTCGACTCTAACTAATAAGGGATGACAAATTTCTTTCTAGCCCGTGGGTGTTTGGTTCCGTGGCTCATTGTGGCTTGATGAGGGTGAGTTATCCAAAAGGCATCTTATTTATGATCCCATATGCTTTAACGATACTCTAACCTTTCATCCTTCATCTTTTTCCTCCGCCTAAGGCCTTGGCTAGCCAATTGTTTATCACGACGATGAGAGCGACTCCTATGAGAATTAAGGGAGTAGTGGTATTTTCTTCTTTCATCTCTTATCTCATATCACCTTCTTGTTTTCCTAAGAGTGTTGTCCTTATGTGTTTTGATAGGGAAGCCGTGAAAGCTTCTTTTCAAGCAACGAGCTAAAGAAGGTGTTGACGGCGTTCGAGGTGCCGGCGATAGAGCATGAAAGGTTATGATCTATTCTTACGTGGCTTTAAGTGTCTTTTTTAACCTCTAAATTAGTTATTGTAACTAGAAAAAATTTACGGATTGGGCATTCGAACTAGTTAACTTTACCACGGGATTATGAGTCGGTGCTTATTGATTTTAAGCCATGAAAAGCTTTGAGATTGAAAAACGAGTTAAAAACTAGCTTTTAGCTAATATTTCTTACAACAACCCTATTGATGAGGTCGTGATCTCGAATGATTGTGTAATTTTATTTTTTTTATTGGTGTAGATGTGAAGTTTGATGGTGAGCATAGATCAAGTTAGTTGAAATACCTATAAAATAATTTCTCATTGTAGGTTAGAGAACCTTCTAATAACTAAGTTAATATATGAAAGGAGATGATGGTCTGAAAAAATAGTAATGTAATGATGCAAGTATGAAGGAGATGATAAATAATGGTCGTTAGTAAAGAGATTCAAAACTTTGAATCTTAAACCTTTTCGTTGTTTATATAGCAAGGAGTCCTTTCAAATTACATAATAAGCGGGACAGAAAGATTCATTTTTCTATTGTCAATAGCTTCTGACAAAGATGAGAGCGTTATAGTTATCATTGATTAGATAGAAGTAATTTTGGTTGTATATTTTCATTTATTAGATGTGTTATTTATCTCTTCTAGTTCAATCATTCAAACTTATTGTTCGCGGTAAGGCCATTTAGTACGCTGAAAAAGTTGGCTCAACCCGATATGTTTTTCTACCTAAGAATCTTGTCTTTTTAAAGGCCAATAAATCCCTTTGAGCCATCATAAATTATATAAAATGAGACATATCATTCATGTACACATATATAAAATCATCGTAACAACGAAGGCCCATTTGTATCGTCGGTGCCATTGTAGTACCGCTATCAATGATGAACTTAACAATTCCTACCAGCCATGGCGGTGACAGTATATACGGTGACAGTTTATATATACTTAGCCCTGACTGCCAATCTGCAAGTAGTACTATTTTTTGATGGTGTATTTGTCGCGTCAATCGTCATACACACGTTACATAGCATGGATTTAGATTACGCTCGATGCGTTCCATTTCGGACCCATGAAAGAAGAAAAAAACAGTACATTAAATCTCTACTACAGGATATCAACAAAAATCTGGACCATATATTTTGGAAGAAAATGCCATAGTGGATGTAGATAGATACTTTGGTGCCTATCTGGACTCATGCTCTCACCTCGGAATCTTAAAATGTAATGTTACAATTACAAATTGCCAATTGAGCTACGAGTCTTTTACCTTATCGCCCTTTCTTCTCGTGCTGATCTTGCTCCACTGGCCAATGAGGCTTGTCCTCTGGTCCCTCTCAATCTACATTCCTGGTTTCCACTTGAGCATCAAATGCAAAATTGGAAATTTCATGACCCCCAGGGATGGGCTTTGCGATGCTGACAGGCATAAGGGAGGGTTGAAGGGCTACGAGCCGGCGATCTTTATGCCGGCGTCAGTTAGTGTGTAACTCTGGGTTTCGTTACTCTTAGCAGGCAAGCTAGCTACCAGGTGGGCGAATTATAAAACCCAGAGTGGGAAGATATTGTAGGTGAATTGCATGAGCAATCATTTACGTAGCAATCAATTGCGTCCAGAGCTTTTTCGTTAATTTATACGGACAATCATCCATTGTAAATATGTTATATATAAACAAAAATTCGAATACTGAGGAGGCGGTTTTTTATATATTTTTTTCACGATATACGGTTATCGGAGACTTTAATAAAATAAAAGTTTCTGCAATCAAAATTGTTCTAAAATTAAGTGTTTCTCATCTTATTCAACAATTACAGTGAGTAATTAAATTAGATTTAGATTCTACAAATACTATTAGTTGGGTTCATAAAAATACATATGTAAGACATTCAAAATGACTTTCTTTTTTAATAAGTTGAGTTTTGTTTATTTTGCCACAGTGAATAAAAAAGAAATGTTGAAACCAATAGTTTAATTAAACATAGTATTAGCTGGCTCTAATCTTTGTAACTTTATTTATATATATATATATATATATATTTTTTTTTTTGTTATTTTGCTACCTTTGAATTTAAGTTTATAGATTTTTATCAAATAAAAACATAATAAACAAAAACCTGTAAAGGAGGTTTATTCCTTCTTTAACTTTCTAAGTTTAAACTTTCGGATATCATCTAGAAAAATTATTTGAGAAATTTTAAAACACCTGAAGAGTAACTTACTTTCTTTAACAAAAGAGACGGACAAAATAATAATAATAATAATATCCATAAAAAATATAAGAATCTTCGTCTTATATATATATCTTGTATGAAGTTATTAGTTATTTATATAGTAAGATAAAATTTCTCTTTTTTTGAATTATTCTCCTAAACGCAATTGGCCAAAATAAGAATTGAGATTTTAAGATCGTTTCGAGAGAAAATTTAGTTTCAAACAAAATGATCCTGAAATACTTTTAACCATTGAATGAATATATATATAGACAAATAAACTACGTAGTTTTTTTTTACCAAATAGTATAGCTATGAGATATGAGACATTATATTGTGTTTTTGTTCTTGGAATGTGAGTAACAGTTGCGATAAATAAAGTAAAACCGTTGATTATGTGGGGATCAAAGTAATTTATTTGTTAAAATCACTTTCCTTCAAGATTAATTGTTAGGGTACATTCGGCAAAGGACTTTCTGTCTTGAAAAGTCTGATGGAATATATATATTGTCTGGATTCAAATCTTAAACTAGCATTTAGATTTTTTTATTTTTTTGAATGAAGCAGACCAACATAAAGGATGTGCTTTCAAAATTATTTAAAAAAGAAAATTAATATTGGTTCGCGTATAAGCTGATATAAATACATCGTTTGCCAGAAGAAAAAAAAAAATCATTCTTTCCTTGGGCTTGCGTTTGTGCTACTTAAAAGTACAAAAGCAAAGAGCACAATGCTTAATATAAGATATATTTGGTACATCTACAAAACTCGACAGTGGATTAAAGTGGATCACACTCAATCATGCTGGCTAGATGTCAACGAGTTCACACAATTCACTGGTCAATGTTCTTAATTTCCATTGTCAACATCATCATCGCTAGCTCAATCTAGCCGCTACTCCCAAAACTCGCCTCAACTCAAGGATTTATTTCATTAACACACATGTTGCCGCCTGAAATTAGGGGACATGAATTGGCGTGCTGAAAATCAGTCTGTTTAATTAGAGTCTTGAATGTTGAACTCGGCCATTCACAAATAATCTACAATTCCAGTATTTCCATGCTTTAATCTGCACTTTTGACCTTTAAAAATTGACAATAGATCTGGACCATTGATCCGGAGGCCAAAAGAATATTAGTTTGATTGTTGTACACAGCCAAGCACGGAGCACAATGCTAACCAATCGTAATTCGTTGCTTGCACTGAAGTTAATGGAAATTGGGACTCCCAGGAATCATCCCCAAAATCAGTCAGCCTCCTTTCAAGGTATACATTATCGGCCGTCACGCACGTGGCACGCCATGTTAATTCGAGATATTGGGTAGTTTTTATTTTTATTTTTTTTAAGAATGAAAATGGCTTAATCCTTATGGTAAGGGATACATTTTCAGTATTACTAAGTTGATTTTATATTTTTAATGAATGCGGAATTCAATATTACGTCTGAAAAAAAAATGTGGGATTCATTTTTAATTTTTTTTTAAAAAAAACTATTTCTGCTTCCGTTTGAGCTTGTCCTGATTTTTATGTTTTATTGGGGGAGCCTTTCGAAAGACTCTGGACCCCTGGTATTATTTTGAATTTGCTGATATAAAAAAATATTTAAAAGGTTAGCAGCCTATTTTTAATTTTACGTATTAACGTTACAATTAAAAATAGGCTTCTCACATTTTACATTTTTTTTTATATACATTAACATTATTTATTCATCATTTCAATGGTAAAAAATTACTCTTAAACTACTGAGGTTATGGTAATTTAAAGTATTTATTATAAATTTTGATTTTATAGATTTCAAATTATTATTTTCTAAGCAAATGTTATCCTTCATTTGTAATTTTTTTTGTTCAAAACATTAACCGTAATTTAAACACTCAAATAACGTTATTTAAACATTCTAACTTTTTTTTATTTAAAAATTACTTCGAAACTATTAAGGATATATTAATTTAAGGATCTTATTATCAATTTAAGTTATTTGAATCATAAATTGTTATTTTTGAGCAAATAGTATTCTTTTTTTGTTATTTTTTTACAATCAAAGATTTAAGAGGTAGCTTGAATGCTTAAATTGCATCATTTAAGCTTTTTTTTACAAAAGAAATTAATTTTAAAAATATATAATAGTGGTTTATTTGGATGACATGTTCCCCTAAATCACTATTAAATCAACTAAATTAATTAAACCGAAGAGAGAAAAAAGGTTATACTGTTAAAGTGTTGTTCTAATTACTTCTATAATTTATGCTTTTATATAATAATATTTTAGACTTGATTCATGTCTTCTTTTTCTCTTGTTTTTTTTTGCCGCAAACTCTTGATTCGATCGATTGTAGCCTTTTTTATCTCCCTATTCAATTAGATTAATTTAGTTGATTTATTAGTGTATTATGATGACATGTTGTCCGTATTAACTATTATTATATACTTTTTTAAAATAAGTTTTTCTATAAAAATAAAAATAAAATAGAATGCTTAAATAATATTATTTAAGTATTCAAGTTAACAGTTAACATTATAACTCGTTACTTATAAATAAGAGAACATTTTCCTGAAAAATAATAATTTAGAATCTAAATAATCCAAATTGGTAATAAATACTTTTTATTGTCATAATCCCTATCGCTCAAGGTAATTTGTGCCATTAAACAAAGGAAGAAGAAGAAGAAGAAGAAGTCAAGTTAATGGCCAATGTTTTACCATCAAATATAACAGAAAAAATAATAAAATTTAAATAACCTAAATTGATAGTAAAAATTCTAAATTTTTATGACCTTAATAGTTTAGAGGTAATTTTTGTCCTTAAACTTTTTAATCAATTTATTTCACATGAGATTAATATATTCATGTCTCGATAGATTATTATAAATTACGCTAACTCTAGTAAGCTGGCAATTCGCATACGGTTTGTCTATTTGAAAGAATCATACTTGTATAGCAATTAAGGACCTAAGAACTGTTAATAGCAATTTTGTTATACATACATACATATATATATATATATATATATACGCGCTTCAATTTGTGTATTTGTGGTACGTAGTTAATTTCGTTTGAATCAAACGAGAGCAAATATCACGGGGCGAGGTTAGGACAAAGAAAACATTAGCCAATTACATAATTTTTGTAATCATGATAAAGCTAAGCATATTTTTGAAGTGACCTCATATAAATCTCCATTCTATACATCAACTTTTTAATTGGATCTCCAGTGAATTAAAAACTTTCAATTGGATCTGGATCTCATATCCACATCCATTAACTTTTCTTTTCTTTTTTTCTGAAGTGCTTATTTTATGTATCAGATATAAAGGATCCAATGCTGGGGATATGACAGGGGATCCAATCAAAGATTAGGTTTGTTCATGGATCTAATTGAAAACTGATACATAGGTTGGGAAGTCCTATTTGAGGTGGGGTCAACCCGGATGGTGCACGATCCTAATCCACGGGTTACCAGCTTACCCCAATAATATTTTTATAATTTTTCAAAGAGAATTAAATATTTGCTTATTTAAAAAAAACAATAATTTTTATATAAATTAATCACTGCTTCAAACTAAACATCAATTAAACAACTACTGAATTGACTTAACTAGCATGTCTCTTTGGGTGTGGTTAAATGATTCCATGTCTAAGTGACGAGTTTGATTTGATCAACCACCGATAAAGAAACGAACAGGCAAATTAACGTTGCATGTCACGAGTGAAACAGTAGTGCCAATGCATTCCGCCAGAAGAGACAACGATTGAATACATCGTCAGCCAAGGATTAGTTATGAATGCGTAGAATAAATAAACACACAGTTCAAAATCACAAAGTGGCTGTCACGGAGGCTTGGTTTACTTACTGCAAAAATTAAAAATAGACACATGCAGCTGACTTTTACGAAGGAAACAGAGTTTTTTTTTGGCGGTTTAAAGATGAGGACATTCTGATCTTGGTTTTTATTCCATATTCACGAGAAAGTTAACAAGTAAGATAGGTTGTTAAGAAGATTTACTTTACTTTTAAAATTTTGAAATTAATATATAAAAATGTACTATACAACAGAATGACATGAAGAATAATGATATAAAAAATACAATTTTAAAATCTCTTCTTTTTTTTTTTGAATTTTTTTTAATCGAATCTTAAGCAAGTTATTTATATTGAAATAGTATACTCATTAAAACTTAAAACACGTTATTAATTTTGGAATCTTGTGAGAAACTTTCTTATAATCTTTCCTGAGATTTAAATTTTAAACCACAACGTGAAAACATGAATATTGACCAATCCAAATAAGTGTCTTTAACAAACAAAAGTTGATCAAGAAACTTTTTTTTATACATAGAATTAATTAGATAGTACTACTAATTAGGTTTTACATTGTCTATTGTATATTTTTTCAAATCATAACTGTGAATTTAATTAAAGTGGCATGGCCCGTTGCCTTGGTGTCGGGGTAGGGTATTTGGCTGGAAAAAGGAGGCACCTTTTGCATTAAATAGCAAGATGAAGAAGATTAAATCTTTGTTTGGACCAACAGATACCAACCGATGGATAGTCTTTCGCTTTTGCGTCCATTTTGATTCCACAAGGATCCTCAAGCACACCCATAGAAAAGAAATCCCTTTTGTCACTCCAAGTCTCCAATTCCATTTCTATTTCATGAAAATTCAGAGGAAAAAGAAAATCTAAACGCATTATATACTCAAAATTTCCAAAAAGAAAAAGAGGAAAGGCTTTTATTTCATATTCTTTTGCATGGGTGCCACGTCTAGGGAGGGCCCTTTACAACAATGACTCACAGCAAAGATCCATGGTCGATTCATGAATGGCTGACGCCAATATCAGCTGTGAAGCATTTCCTTCTTCAGCTCCGACCCTACTTATCACATCACATTCAGTGCAGCTCAAATTCGCCAATTGCCGGCCACCCCCTCACTTCCCCACTCTCTCTTTCTCCGATCTTTTCTCGACTATGAGTCCTGCACCACTAAAGTCTCCCTCCATTATTCATCATTTGTGGGGTTCAATATGTTAACGAGAAAAGTCTTAAATTATACCTTCACCTGCCCTTTTAATTTGCTCATTACCTTCTTCCAACTAATTTTGACCCTTGTTTACCGAAATTCATCTTTGGACCAAATTTCCCTTTTTTTTTTTTTTTTTTACCTACTTCGATCCATCAAAAGATTTTCAATAACCAAACAGTATCAATTTCTTCCTTTCGCCAATTCTCTCCCCGCTAATCTCGCCTCCCATCATTGCTTTTCCTCTTCCCTCTCTCAAACACCTTTTTCTACTCGTCCACGTCCAAACAACAAACAACATTAGCAAACCAAAAACATCATTGCCATCCAAATCACACACAATGTCTCTTCTTCTCTTCCTCCTCCCTCTTCCTCTCCTCCTCTCCCCTTCCCTCTCCTTCCCTTTTGGAAGTAAGTGCTCATTCCCCCTTCTCTCTCTGCAACTAACAAATTTAACTAACTTTCCGTTTTTTTAACCGCATTTTTTTACTACAGATACTTCATACTTCATTGACTGTGGCGGTTCCAGAAACACAACAGATCCATTCAACACCACATGGCTTTCCGACCGTTACTTCACAGGCGGAGCCACCTCTGTAGTGTCAGAGCCACTCCACTTCCGCTACCCTCAAGAGAAAAATCTCCGCTTCTTTCCACTCTCCTCCGGAAAAAAAAACTGCTACATTCTCCCTCTCCCTAACGGCCGTTACTACTTCCGTACATTCACTGTCTACGACAACTACGACGGCAAATCTCACTCTCCTTCATTCCAAGCATCCGTGGAGGGTACGTTCGTCTTTTCGTGGACTTCCCCTTGGCCTGAGAATCTCGCTCGTGACGGTGCGTACTCCGATCTCTTCGCGTTTGTTAGAGACGGTGAAGCGGATGTCTGCTTTTACAGTATTGCTACTGACCCTCCCGTCATTGGATCCCTCGAAATTCGTCAAATCGATCCGTCATCTTACGATTCCGCAACAATCGGTGATAAATTCATCCTCGTTAATTACGGCCGTGTATCATGTGGGTCCAATCAGTGGGGCCCAGGGTTCAGCAACGATACTGATTATTTCGGCCGAACTTGGCAGTCCGACTCCGAATTTCGAACTCCAAACACGACAAAAATAATCAACTCCTTCTCCACACGAGAAACTATAACCGGCACCAATCAGCCGCCGAATTATTATCCGATGAAGCTTTACCAAACGGCTGTTACTGGAAATGGAATATTGGAGTACGAACTGTCGGTCGATGCGAAAATGGATTATCTGTTGTGGTTTCATTTCGCGGAGATTGATTCGAGTGTGAAGCAGAAATCGGAGAGAGTGTTTGATGTGGTGGTGAATGAGAAGAATGTGAAGCGGGTCGACATTTTCGAGGAAGTTGGGAGCTTTGCAGCTTATAATTGGAGTTACTTAGCGCATAATTTGAGCAGTACTGTATTGACTGTGAAGTTTGTGCCAGTTGTTGGCGCTCCGATTGTTAGTGGAATTGAGAATTATGCTTTGGTTCCTAGTGATCTCTCCACCGTGCCGGAGCAAGGTATGTGATTTTGGATTGATTGGTTTCTTGAATTAGAAATTAGTATGATGTTTTTATATATATATATATATAGAAAATAGTAATCGTCAATGTGTTTTTGTTTTGTAGTGGTGGCAATGAGAGCATTGAAAGAGTCGTTGCGGGTTCCTGACAGAATGGGATGGAATGGGGATCCTTGTGCCCCTACTAGTTGGGATGCTTGGGAAGGAGTCACATGCCATCCCAACAAAGATGAAACTGCACTTGTGATATCACAAATGTAAGCAATGCCTGAAAGTTGAATATTGTGTATTGAATTCTTTGTATGTCCTTTCTGGGAACTAGTGATTTTTTGTTTCAGAAGATGAGTTTAAGCTCATGTTAAAAATTACTTGGTTATTTTGTTTAGTGATCTTGGAAGTCAAGGCTTGAAGGGGAGTATAAGCGGGCATATTACTCTTTTGTCGGACTTGGTAACCCTGTAAGTATCAGCATACAATTTCTTACATGCAGGAGATGTTTCATGTTTTATTTGCTTAAATCATGCAGAAGATATTGGCATGTTGCAGATAAATGCATGAAACGAGTGCTTGTGTTTTCATAACATTCTACAGCACCTCAGGGATGAATTAGGTTTGATTTTTAAATTGACATGTCTTCTTGTAGATCTCTAACAACTTGTTTCCAGCTTTTGCACTTTTTCTTTGAACCATAATCAATCTGCTCTTTGCTGGTGCAGATGCTAGTTTTATTTCGTAGGATCAACCAATTTCTACCAGAAAACTTATTACGCAAAATGATAGGATTTCTTCTGAGTGAACTCCATTTAATTAAACAATTTTTTCCAAGTGATAGCCCTTCCACAGCCTTAATTAATGTAAAAGGATCCTAACTTGTTGATCAAATAACAAATTAAATGTCTTCCAGTTGATCTCGTAACCTGTGCTGTCATTATTGTTGGCATTGCAGATTTCATCAAATTTAATAAGTGTTGGTTCTAATAGTAATACTGGTAGATTCTTATTGTTGCTCACATGTTCTGTCATGATAAACACTCTTGATTTTGTATCATAGCTAGCTTTTGTTTACTACATTTCTCCTGCCTTGCCTCAAAAGTTGATCTTCTGAAATTTTAGTGTGACATTGTGCATGAATAATGTTTTTGAACTTGGACTTACACTTCCTTAGTTTGTTGTGCTTATCTTGCAGCTCATCCATCGTAGTTAACCACGATCTTTTAAATCTTGCAGGAATTTGAGTACTAATTCTTTGGGAGGAACTCTACCATCAGGACTAGGTCAACAAGCTCTTGTACGGCTGTAAGTTGTACAGCATTTATATGCTTTATATCAATTGATATTTTGTGGTCCTTCTTTTTAATATGTATAGCAAGCTCTTGCATATAAGCTAAAATAGTTTTATAGCGCATTTCATGATTGAGTACCATTAATTTAATTATATATTTGCTAGCTTACCCCCAACTAGTTTGGGATTAAGGCTTTGTTGTTGATGATGATTATTTTGATAAATAAAGTGAAATTGATTAGGGCATGTGTCCCCAGTGCTTTTTTTAAATTGAGTGCCTGCCCAAGTAGGTTTGATTTTGAGAACCCCTCGTTGGGAGGGAGCACTATCTCTGCCAGTTCATCTTGTGGGCTTCCACTCCCTAAAACATTGGATGCACATTTTTTAGAACTAATTCGTTCATGAAATGAAGTCTACCTTATCTAGGGAAAAGGAAAAAAATACTATGTTTGCGTCTTGTTTTCCCTGTAAGGAAACTTCCTTATGGATTATCTCTTCTCTGAGTTTGGAAAACGTTTTCTATACTGTTAGTTATTTATCCTTGGTTCTCCCTTTCTCTTAAAACATTCATTCATCAGCTTGGTCAGATCACTTTATTTATTCTTTCAGCTTTATAGTGTAGCACAAACTTGAAGGTGTTTGATTCAAATAGTGTTTCATCATCTTCTTTCCAAGTTCAAATGTGATGCTTTATCTACACTGTGAAACTGATCTGACAAGCACTAGAACTTGCTCTGGCCATTCCAGTATGTTATTTCTTATCACTTTTGATTTGTGCTTTGTAGGGATTTGTCAAACAATAAGTTCTTGGGTCCTATACCAGAAAGTCTAGCTTCAGCAACTCATCTGCAGCTTGTGTAAGTAGTTTGCTTGCACTAATAAATATTGGAGCATTTTTTATAAGCATGAGCACGCACACACACACAAAACGGCATATATACACAGACATACTCACAAAAATGCATACATACACAGACAGACACATTGCAAGTTTGTTGATATTTGGATCTAGAAGCTATAGTTGTTGTTCTTCTTCTTTTGAAGTTTTATTTTTCAACTCTGTGAGTTTCAATGTGGTAGTGTTTGACCCATTTCTTTCTTGCATGCCATGATGTTAGCATATTATCATATATACCCGCAGGGAGTAGATTTCATGCTTTTAATGGTATATTGTTCAAAATTTGTTACTAATTTTACTAAAATATCCGTTGTTTTGTGGATTTTATTTGTTTTGAACTCATGTTTAGATCAATGATACTGCTCTGTTTGAAATTCATCAGGACTTGAGTTGGAGGATCTGTGTATTTCCCTTGTTAAAAACTTTAAATTGGATTTAAATTGGATGTAGATGATGGATATTTACCTTTCAGTTTCAAATGTATTCACCGAAGAAGATATTGACCAATAACTATACCATATATACACACAAATGAACACTTTTATCATTAAAATTTGATGTCTTTTAGGTATCTTTGATCGAGTTTGGAATAAAGTAAAACAAATTATTTTATGCTAGAATTTTGTATAACTAGTACTACAAACTGAAGAAAATCCTCTCAGTATATTCATTATTACACCTTTGCTTATTGATAGATGTACCACACTGTTTTCCCTTTTTTTTTTTTTTTTCTTTTGATAAGCAAATTGATTGAAGAAACAAAAAATCGTAGCTATTTAAGTACCTGCGGCATTAGCATTAGAAATCCAAATGGTTACCCATTCTATTGCTGATTGCCCAATTATTTTCCTTGACTGTATTGCCATAACATCTCTTTATTTCCAGGCTGTTGAATGGGAACCTATTGGAAGGGCGAGTGCCAGAGGAACTTTATTCAATTGGTGTGCATGGTGGAACTATTGAGTAAGTTTCGTTTCTAGCTTTCAAAATTCTCTATTTAGTTTATTACAGTATTAGTTTCTGAGCTATGAAATTTTTGGCATGTATAACCTTAAATATCTTGATTCTACTTTTACTAATTTAATCAATTATTTTTATATTTTCCTAAAATCCTTTATAGGATGAAAATTGAGAGACTTCTAACACTGTTTTGAGTTGTTGCTGAAATACTCTTTAGGAGTACATTTATCAAAATACACATGTACTGTTGGTCCATGGTCTTTAGTTGTCTCTGATATTGCAATACGAGACTTGCTGGATTCATGTTTTCTCAGTCTGTGCAAGAGAGGAGTCTATTGTTGATTGAGGGTTCACAAATCATAATGTTGTTGTTTTTCAATTAATTTGATTATCTGGGAAGATGGACAGTCATAATCTGTAACAATTCGAGTATTCTTCAAACCTGAATGGCTAATCCGTCGGTTGCTTGTGTCTTTCCTTTTTCAACCATACCCTTCCAAAAAAAATCGTTATCTGAATGAACTTCACTCGAGCTATTATAAAAAAGGCAATTTATACCCCTGTTTTACAGTCAGTTTCTCATTAAAAATGGGAGTTCTATCCACTCAATCTCCCATTTTTCCTGTGAGATCCCCATTTCTGTTCAATTTGCTGTCTTTCACAACATTGGATGACTGTTTCTTACTTTGTTCAAACCTGTGATTTTGTTGATATACTAGAACATCTTTGTCATTTCCTTCGCTCACCATCAAATTTTAGTGGGAGGTTAAGCTTGAAAACTGTCATTTAATATTATCTGATTTACCAGAAACTGTGGTTGCTTGAATTTGTTTTCATTGACAACCAGATTATTCCTTTTGACAGTAAGCACATATCATATCTTTAGAAGTAATTTTGTCAACCAGTTTTTTGTCTGTCATTGGTAAAATAGGCTCTCAACAGTTGATGAAAGCAGTGTTCAAGGTTCTGTATAAAGACAGAATTCAGTCATACATCCAGGAAGCAGTCCACTTCTTTGGAAAAGCGAGTGAAAGTTATAGTAGTTGGCAATGATGATTAATATTTGCATATTAATGTATGGAGTACAGATTACTCGCTGCAGCATCGAAAGATGCTAACACGCTGCTTTTTACTTGTGGTTGCTGAATGTTTGGCTCCATGTTTCTTGCACAATTTCTGGAATATGCCAATTTTGCTTTTTTTTTTTTTTTTTTTTTTTGGAGATTAATCTGCTTAAGATGGGAATTGAACCAATGCCTCACCCCTCTTACCTTTTAAAAGTACCCATGAGCCATTGGTCATTTTGTTTTTTTACTTGATGAATTAATATGTCTGTTTGACAACTCAAAAAAAAAATTGGCCTTTTACAGTCTTTCAGGTAACAAAGGTTTGTGTGGAGTACCACCTTTGCCAAAATGCTCTCTATTTTGGGAAAATGGTCACCTGTCCACTGGTGGTAAAGTTGCTGTAGGCTTATCGTGCCTAGTATTTGTTTGTGTGCTTTTATTGGGATACATATTCTGCATCAGGAGGCGTAGAAATGATTATGACTTTGCTCCAACTCACGATCTAATGTGTAAGTATTTTTCAAGGACGTTCAAGTTTGTCATCTTCTAGTTTTATTAGTGTACGTGCATGATGTCATGGTTAGCGGTTGCTTTGATATGTCATCTGGCACGATATGCTGTTGAATTTTAAGGCACTCATTACACAAAGCATATCAGATATCACTGCTTTAGAGGTCACTTACATTCGAGACCACATTCCACCTCCGGACCTTATTTTCACTTCCTTTTATTGTAGAATAGTTTGAAACCATTATCGTCTAGAATTCTCTATTCTTAATACAACATGTTAAAATTCCTATTTTAACCACTTGGAGATGTTTGCTTAGAATAAACAAATCTTAAATTAGGATCTGGAATCAGGAACTAGGATTATGCTTGAAGCAGCATATAATATATAAAACTGCAAAAGGAGTTCAGCCAAGATTTGGGACGTGGGAGTGAGACTTCATTTGAAGTACAAATCTCCGTATGAGAGAACGCTTCATGTACCTACTACTAATATATTTTCAGTCAGTGAACTTCTGCTACTAGATGATGTTGGTACTTGGTAGGTATCATAGGCCGTACTTCTGTGTATATCTAGATCCCAGAGTTTTAGTTGGAGCTATAAAGCCAGTGCTAACCACATCGAACCCTATGTGGATACATCTTACATTTAGTTTTCATCCTTTGATGGCTATTCTTCACAATATGCCACAATAGAGTAATTTACCACTTAGAATTCATCCACTATGACTCTTTCCAGAATCTAGAGAAATCCATTAAACAAGCTATGGTCTATTATGTCCATGATATATAATCTTATCATCAAAATAAGTTTCATCCTTATTAGGCAAGGTAGCTCAACTTTCCTCTCCCACTCTCCTGTCAGAGATCCTACCTCCAAATTGAATCCACATAGATCCTGTTTGAAAGTAGCACAACATGAAACTTCTGTAGTGTGTAGTAACAATAATACTATCACCTTCAATTTGGCTATATTAGCTGTCATTACGGAAGCTTTCTCATCCTCAGTTACCGCCTTTTTAAATTTGATATCATCATACATATCAGGAAAGAAAAGGGCAAAAAGAGGAGATATTTTTCCTGTAGTTTCATTCATCTTGGTCTTATTTGACTTCAACCTTTCTAAAAGTCTCTGACTCCACAACTGTGGTCGCTGCTATAAAAGAACTGGTAACATTCAGTTTGCATGCAACAAACAATTGTGCTCACTCTTAATTTTATCATTTTTGCTTCACTAGCTAATTGGTTATAGGTATCATGCCTTTTTTCTTGAGTCTTGTTTGAATTTAGATTTTAACGTAATACAATTGTATTCTCCCAGCAATGGCTGCCAAGAGAAACAGATACCAGAGGCAGAAGTCCTTGATGCTTCTTGAAATGGAGAGCCAACATGCCAAAGGATTACCATCACCTTCCGGTCCACATTAACAGTCTTTTGGAAAAGATAGTATTGATCTCGATATTCTTCAGCTCACAAAGAGAGCATGGCGAGGGGACCCTGGATGTAGCTTGTACAAAATGCTCGAATAGGATGTGACCTGTATCTGCTCCACAAAGAGGACTTTATTGGATTTGGAATCTTTTAACAATGGAACCAAGATGGGGTCTTGAAAAGTCACACTGTCTATACAATGCAATGTATCTGAGATTTTTTTTCCTTACTGACAAAACAAACTGGATAAGCCATCCTGATGTATCATACCGACTTTGCAGCATTTTATGAGAAAATGCTGTGAATTCTTCTTCGATTTATGAAAAGGGCATTACACATTTATACCAATTGGACCCAGATTTGGTAGCGTTGTATGATGAGCTTTTTGGTTAATAAAGTTATTTTTAGCTGTAGCTTTGTTAATTCATCTGTTACGGACTGGCATTTCCTTCCTGTACGTAATATCTTAAAAAAAACCTGTTTTTGTCATTAACCGTTACTCAGTTTTCCATCATTCAGGTGGGTTATGCATGCTTATTAATGATCTTATTTCTCTGCTTGGGGCAAAAATTTTCAATAATGCCACTGTTTTCTGATGGCTGTGCCGTCTCCAAACCGTTGACTTCCCTGTAGAGCTGGCTATGTTGCGTAACACTGATTATCTGTGTTCTAACAGAGATTACCATTGTTAAACCTTACATTTCTTATAATCACAAATCACATCATCACCAATAAAGTATTATCTGTGTGTGGTCAATCAATTTGCATAAAGGATTATCCGTGATAAATTGATTCCCAGATGCCTAATTCCTTCAGACTAATCTGTGTGGGTGATGTGGCTCCTCTTTCGTTGTCAAAACCTCAAATTCCATTTGTGAAATTGTGATTTGTGACCACGTATTATGAGCCGTTTATTATTGTGGTGGCTTTGTTGTACATGCTTTAATTGAGAAAAAAAAGTTGTACTTTATACGATCCGCTACAGCAATGTCAAAAAACAGTTATCGTTTTAGGTGGGTATATATATATATATATATATTAGGATTTTAAATCCATTTAAAAAATATAAAAAGCCTTTTGTTTTATTTTTCCAAATGAATTGACGTTATTTTAATTTAAATACATTTTGAAAAGCATTTGAACAAAAAAACAAGAAGGTGTCTGAATAGAATGACAGTGTATATTTTTGCAAACCAAGGCATCTCTAGCTCATTAATGAAGTCACCTTGCTAGCTAGTAGCTGTAAAAACGAGGGAAGCAAGGTCTTTGAAATCATAGTTTTAAATAATAAATATTATATAATATAAAAATCGTTATCGAATAAAATTGGCATAGGTTTTTTTCGTGATTATATACGATACAATCTCAATTTATATAAATAACAACTGTTATATTATTTATAAGAAAACTATTTAATTTTTTATTTAAAAATAAATTTATCAATAAATGCTAATTTATTTACAATATTAATTATTATAATCATTATTTTACTGTCCTAATAATTTCGGACACAATCACAATATTTTTTTCGGAACAGCTTGAGTGATTTAAAAATATATTGGAAATGTGCAGGAACATATTATTATTCATAATAATAATAGTACAAACTTGAGATTTCATTGTCATTAATTATATCCTCAACGCGGTTATAAGAAAATATGTGGTTGCGCAAGTGTTGTCCTATCGAGAATCGTACGTCCCAGTTCAAAAAATAAAACTGAGGGAATCTCTGATGGTTTCACATATGAAATATGCGTGCCCCAATTGTCAAAAGCCCTAACTTTGGACTTTGAAGGTTACCGTCAGATCAGTACCCCTGTTGTATCACTCCAACTTGGACCCCACGTTAGTCTTTACTTGTCACCTTCCATCGCAGTCGTTGTTTCTTGACTAGTTCTGCTCTTTGAAAACGAATCTGATGATCCCACTTCATCAAGTTTTTTTTTAAAAAAAAAAAATTGGATCCAAGTAAAATATTTACTATATATTTTCTTTCAAGATACAGATTTACACTAATCTTTTCTGTTTTAGTCACTTTTTTCTTTTATTTTAGTAGAATTCGACGTGAAACATTTGAGAATAATGTCCAATGCTTTCAATACTATTAATTAAGCTTTCCATTTAGTCTCATTTGATTATTATTGATTATAAGGTCAATGTAAGAATATAAGTAATGGTTGTAACTTATGAACTTATAATTATCTGTCATATATTCAACTTAGAATACCATAGCACGTTAAGTTGAATCTATGCTTAAGCAATTAATCCCAAGTTGACCATATCTTAATGCAAGTGTACGTTACCAATACGATTGTGAGAGGTATCCCTGCTGTTTTTATTTCGCCATTCTTGATGAGATGAGTGATATTTCCACTTAATTCCAACTGGGGTTTTGAAGGTTGACTAGATCTCGTAATTCTAATATAATTTGAAGGAAGATTAATTGTTAATTAATACTCACTCTGCAACTTGTGATACGTGTAAAGCATGTTGTGTTTTGGTTGGTTGTTAATTTATTGGAGTACTAACTAATCATGTAGTTTTAAAAGGATGTTCAGAATAATCATGTTTAAAAAATTATGACTAATTCATAATATATATATATATATATATATATATATATATATATATATATATATATATATAAGACCGTTAATTTTGATAACGTCAGGCATTGCTACAGTAATTAATACTCCTGCAAACATGTTTTACTCTAGCCAAAGTTTCCATTTCCAACTGTAACTTTGAATAATCGAACAATTTTAGTTTAGACCGTGAATCAAAATACAACTTAGAAAGTGATTTTGGGGTGTTGGTTTGATGGACAATAACCGTGTTTATTCTTTAATCATCATAATCCAAACATCAAATCAAACTATGAAAAATAGTTTTTTTTTTTATTAGATTTCAAATGTCGTTGTAAATAATTTGTTATTTGACTGGATCGATCTTGGAAAAAAAATTTAATCTCGTACAAAAAAAAAAAACAAAACTATGCAAAGATACTCCCACCGAAAAAAGAAAAAAGAAATAAATAAAGAAAGAAAATTCCTAAAACATCATTGCTTGAAAATTCTAAGTGAAAATTTAAAGATACACCCCATGGACTAACTGCATGTTGTAATACCGGTACGTATGTCCTAAGAAAATTCTAAGTGATTTAATTAATCTTTAGCGTATTGGGGTTCAGTAAGGGCACGTAGGGTTTAAAAACAGCACAAAATCCAAATCATGGGAACTAATCATCTAATATTAGACGTGGTTGCTTTAATTTCAATACCATATCATATTATATTATGTTAGAACCTATATATGATGAGAGTCATTAGGCGTAATGAGGCTAATTACCCAACTCCCCTGTTTCCTTCTCTGCTTTACTGTTGTTCGTATCTGGGAACCAAAAAACAACCCAAAGTTAGGTTCCATCGGTGGATTGGATTGTGATCTCATCTCTAGAACTCCGACTAATGAGTACTGACCCATTTATTATTTCTGAACATGTGTTCAATTACAGAAACTTTTCAAGTCTTTTGCCACTTGTCCATCAAACTTCAATCTCCCTAATTCCAAGCCGTGTGCAAGTTGACCCAGCCATGGACCATACGGCACAGACTATTAAAGCCATCTGACAAATGCTGTAGATTACTTCTCCACCTCTCGAAACATCAAAAAGAAGAAACACACTAATTGCAGATTTATTTTTCCTTCGTTTTTGTGTTGGCTTGATGTGCTACCTTAGTCGTGATATTTGAAAAATCATACTATATAACAAGACTTTTCGAAACGCTTGAAGCACCGGCTTTTCCATGGGCCCAAAAATAATGAAGGAACGCCCCACACCAGACACTGCCTATGCCGCTCATGATCATCCCTCACCTTAGTTTAGAGAATAATTATACATGCAGATTTAGTTTAACAGTAATGTATGTATTCATTAATTTTTTTAAATTAAATATATCAAAATCCCAATTATTACTTATTCCTATTATTAGGTGATGGAGAAGAAATATCTCTATTATATGGAGAAGATTTTCAACTCTTCCAATAAACAAAAAGAAAAATTAGGTATATTTTTACCACCTAATGACCTTGTTTTTTAAAAATAATACATAATACTATAATCCTTTGACTTCTCTTAAATCCATATGAATTAACTACATAATCCAATTTCAAAGAGTCTTGCCCATGCCAGGACGTAGATTTATAAGATCTAAAACAGCCACTACTCTATATATTTTCTGCAATGTAAACGCAAGCATCGAAGTCCACACTTTCTACAAATTAATTTATAAGGGAAGGAAAAAAAAAAAACAGAAGAAGAAGAAATTGGATTTTTTAAAAAAATGTGTTGACTTGGTTGACCTCGGTATATGCACGAGCAGAAGTCCTCTCTCCCCTAACGCCCACTGCCTAACTAAATAATTCAGATCGTAGAGAAAACGTATACATTTATGCTACGCAAATTCAAGAGCGCGCGCGCGCACACATATATTTGAATATTAAAATTCCAATCTATTAAATAAATTATTCCTAGTTTGCCTGTGATTGAGTGGTCTATTATGCTGAAAGTCGAAATGAGGTTGCACATAACTAATAAGGAATTAATTTTATATTAACATTATATAAAACGAAAAGAAAAGAAAGTCTTCAATTATTATATAATTTGGCACTAGGACCAGTAGTTGCAAAGAGAATAAGATGCCAATTGACGAAAATGCTTATCTGCAACAGAAGAAAACAAGGACGATATTATTTTATTTTATTTTTTTTGTAGCTATTGGTATTGGTATTGCCAGCCAACAACCAAGTGGACAGATTTATATTTTTGACTTAATTTGTGATTATTTAGTTTATTAGGCGTGCCATGTCGGCAACATGCTCTGCTTGATTTTTTCCACTAATAAAATAAAACCAGGAGGACCCATCATCCACTTGGAGATCATAGCTATTAGCATTAGCGTCAAATTCGATATTTTGCATGTGATTTAATGGGTAATTTATTAACATTATTATCTAGATCAGTTATGTTCCACTTCACTTCTTTATTAATTAACTATTAGTAACATACCTGCACAAGACCAACAAGAATTACACAAGAAATTATGAGTATTATTTGGGACCCAATTTATAACTCAGGACATATATATATATATATTCCTTCTTAAAGCCACCAAAATTTGCTCCTAGTTTCATAAATTGCGAAAAATAAGAGAAATTAAAATGCATGGCTAGTTAATGAAGTTACACTAGTCTCCAAGTGGGAGAAAATAACGCCTGATTGAGACCGTCGTTGAAACTATTGAAAGAGTTGATCGGGTCAAGTTGAATGAGACCCCCATCAATACAATTTGTTGGTCAAAACTCCCTAACTTTGTTTTGCCATCAAATGGAATACTAAAACTTAATGGCCAATGACATTTAAAAAAAAAAAAAAAAAGGATGAAAATTCCAAGACTTCACTCCCTCTCGTTTGCAAGGGCTATAGACTGTACCTAAATGGTACGCCACGATGATAATAATTAATGAAAACTGTGAAGCAACAGAAGAGATAACAGAGGATAGATAGAGCACAAACTGGTTCCTCATCGTCGCAGAAACCCCTTACCTGTTTGAGGGTTATCTCTGACACTGACCACCTCTCAACCAATGGGAAGAGTTATGTGGCATGCAGGAGGTGGTAGGCCCATTTATGACCAATGGGATGATGGTCACTGCTTGATCTACACTTTCCACATATAGATAGTCAACAAAAGCAACTTCCATAGTTAACTTGGTGTGGGCTGCATGCCTTGCCCCACCTTTACAGCCTATCTTAGCTTGTGCAGCTGTACCCATTTTTGGTTTACTTTGAAACAATCGTCTCCGCCTGGTTGTATGTTGTTTGTCTTCTCTTACTCAACAACTACTACTAGTAAGTCGACAAGAATCTTTCCCAGTAAACTCTAGAACTAGGATAATTCCTTTTTGACCAAAGATTTTAAGGTTGGAACATTGGTGGAGTTAAGAATTTGACGTAACTTTTCTTTTCTTTTTTTTTAACAGAGACTAAATTACTTCTTAATCTGGTCTTAGATAAATATCGAAAATATTTTTTAAAAAAATTTATTTTCCACAACTTCTTTTTACTATCAAATCTAGAATGATAATTTCTACTTACTACACTGGAGCCACTATATTAAGAATAGTATTGGCAAAAAAATAAGAAAGAACCATAACTGGACACAACTACAAATTCAGCTTCTTTTTTTCTCGCTATATCTTAAAAATCCATCACTATATATAATTAATAATGGATTAGAGACAACATGAATTTTGTCACTAATATGATTTTCGTTAGTTTTTTAGTAATCGAAATTTTTTTCACTACCCGATCAACGATGAATTTTTTATCGCTAATTTATTGAATTTTCATTACTAAATCGATTTAAAACAACCGTTTATAAGGTCTTATATCCATCGCTATTAAGAGACGGAATGAGTGTTGTTACATGAGTCGCTAAAATCCTCACAATTTCATTACTAAATCCTTCGTTATTTAGCTACCGTATGTGTCTCTATCGCTAAACGAAGAAATTTTTATCAATAGTCGTATATTATTAATTATAATAATAAATAATCGTTAACAACACTTTATTAAAACAATATATATTATTTAATATAATTAAAATCTTACAAATTGAAATAAAATAAACGTATAAATGTGTTAACGTGTACGAAAACATTATAAACTTTTTTAAAAGAATAAGAAATCTAGTCCTTATCATCATCATCATCTCTTGTATCATCTTTCAACTACTCGGGTGTTAAGAGAAATGACCGACTCTTGAGTTTTGGGAGGGTCACCGAAGGGACGTCGATCTATCGTAGGTTATATAACAACTCCATCGTTG